CAAATGCATGAACTATCACTCCAGCCTCTGTTTACTCGATTTTTAAGACTCAGTTCTCCCTTCTAACCACCCATACCATTGATATTTCTTCCTCTATATTTAAAGCCTTAATACACCTGAAAACAAGGCCGGTGATTCCTAAATTATATCTCTGAAAAATATTGCTAAAAATACCTGCTAAAGTCTCATGGATCAGTAACTTGGAAAACTCAGCATAACAATAAGAGAACACTGCTAGTTTATGATATTTTCAGTTTCTTCTCTCAATGTAATTTAAAAACTTAGGAATATCAATAATTGAAGCATTTTCATTTTCATTTAAAAAATAAAGTAACAAGATTCATTTGAACAGTTCCTGCCTTCTTTTCATCATCAACAATACAGAGCATCATTTGTTTTTTTATTATTATTTGGGGAGTCACATCTGGCAATTCTCAGGGGTTACTCCTGGTTCTGCATTAAAGGACCACTCCTGGCAGGGCTCAGGGGCGCTGTATGTTGTGCCAGCTGGTTTGTGTGCAAGGCAAATACCCTACCCACTGAACTATTGCCCTGGTCCCCAAAAGCAGCATTTTTTTCTGGGCAGTACTACATTGTCACATATCTTTAAAGTTTGGTTCCAATTTCAAACTTTTGTCCTTTGTGCTTTCAGGGTCATCAAATCTCTCTGGAGTTCCTTTAATGTAAAGTTTATTGTCAGTGTCACTTCCTCTGGGCTGACTTAATTCTTTTCATCTTAACCACTTTCCTCACTGATGTCAACAGGTTTGCCTGAAATAATTCTGGCACTGTATTGACAGTTTCTCCAGCAGTGTCCGGCAACATTCCCATGGTCAACATTCTCTGCTAAAACTCTGTATTCAATTCTAGTTCTGCAGGTACTGCACAATACAAGATCATTATAGCTATACTGAGCACCTACTGTTTGCCATTACTTCCTACCAGGATGATTGAATATTTTCAGTTGAATGGTCTATATTTCTTCCTAAACTCAGCTACAGAAATTATGAGTTTGTGTTATTGAGTACCCTTTCAGAAGTCTGTGCAAAACTAAAGACTCTCAGTTGAAATAACTCCTTGATCCATTGGATGAATTAATAAAGTTGTTCTTGGTGATAAAGAGCACATTTCTAAATGTATCACGTGGGCCTGACAGCCAGGACACCGGATAAGTGGGAACATGGGGAGGGATGGCCCATACTCGCCTCCATGTGACTTGGAGTTTTCAGTCACTGGTAGCCACGTACTTGGGTTTTTCTTCTGGAGATTTGTGACCTCCGAGGTTCATCTGGAGTAGGCGGAGAGAGAAAATGCCTGCTCCATCTGAGGTGCCCCAGTGAAATCAGCTCAGTACGGGGTCCTGGGACATCTCTATAGTGAGCTGCCAACTTCTGAGATTTATTTGTGAGTCTCTGGATCATGCCCTTAAAATGTATCTCATTTAACTAATGTGATCCACAAAGCTTTTAATAAAACAGAGTTTTGGATATTCAGTGTTCCAGCTCCAAATCCACCACTATTGTCAGTATTCCCCTCTGGTGATCCAGGGTTCCCTCCCTGTCCCCAACCCACTTCCTAAGCAAATGAGTATTTCTGATATTTTTGCTTGTTTATTTGTCGTTGTATTTTGGTTTGAGAGCCATACTCATCTTCTAGGGCTAACCTCTGACTCTGTGCTCAGGGTTCACTCCTGCTGGGTCTCTGGAAACCATATGCAATACTAGGAACCAAACTAGGGTTAGGCTGTATGCCAGGCAAGAGCCTTACCCACTGTGATATCTTTCTGGTCCTTTCTTTTCCTTTTTTATGTCATTTTGTTGTTGTTGTTGTTGTTATTGTTGTTGTGGGGGGCCACACCCAGAGATACTCAGGGGTTACTCCTGGATCTGCACTCAGGAATTACTCCTGGTGTTATTCTGGGGACCTTATGGTATGCCAGGGAATGAACCCTGGTCAGCCATACACAATGCAAACACCCTACTCACTGTACTATCATTTTCACCCCTCTTTTCCTTTTTGAAAAAAAAAAGTCCTTATTGTAATTTGGGTCCCATGTTTATAATATTGTTGACTTCTGGCTTTTATGTACATAATTACCTCACCTCTAAACCACTGAGATATCCAAGACTTGTGATCAGTGTCTTTAAGTTATTGCCATTTTTACATTTTTATTCAAATCCTCCAGAGAAAAAGAGTAACTGAAAGCATTATCCACAGCAGTCTTATCTTGTGTCAAATGACTTCGCTTATCATTTCTCTCTGCTGCTGATTTACAAGAGGTCACAAAACTGTGTGATGTACCGTCTGTGTGTGGACAGAGTGGGGGCTATGCAGTGACAGGTCATTGACAGACTTTGACACATGTGCTACAGCCAGTCATTATCATCATTTTATGCATCCTTCCCATTGTGATTTGGGGAGCAAACAGTTGGCAGTGATATTTATACTTGAGATAGCAGCTTGCATTACTAGAGGGAGGATGCTGAAATTGGAGCCACATTGTTGGGGGCTAGTTACTTAACGAAACCATGGTCCTTGAATGTGTGTCTGTGGGGCTTATGCTAGTAAGGATAGCCTAACTGTCACCCAAGAATCACCTCACCTCAGTGGACTCCTTCTCAAAATAAACCTTCATTTCGGTTCTAATTCTTTCATTCTTTAACTTTTGCCTCTGCAGATACATCTGAAATCTTCTTTTGTAAGATCACTGATATTTTTTTTTGGAATCTGCAGAGTTATTTGACCCAAACCATTGATAGAAACCTCTTTTATTCCATCCTGCCAAATTTACATAAAAGCATCAGACACGTAAGATATTATGTTAGGTACTCTTTTCTTAAGACACACACTTTGACTAGGTTTTCCCATTTACATTAATTCTAGTCCTATTCACTGGGCACCCGGAGATGTGCTATCATACTTCTGCATGTGGAGGCCTCAAAAAGATCTAATTACAAGATTATTAACGTCACTAACAGGAAGAGGCAATATATACCCCATGTAATATACATATGTGTAATATACATGTCATATGTATATATAATCTATGTATATATGTCAGTTACTGTGCTGGGTTCTTATAATAATTCATGAAATCATCAGCTCCTACATACTGGGGGAATTATCAAAACCCTTATTGCAGACACAAAGAAACTAGAGCTAAGAGAAAAGTTGTATGATTTGTGTCATACAACTGTGTCAAGAAAATGTTACAGGGTAAGCAGCATTTGCCTCCCAGAAGTCTGACTCTGCACATCTGGTGGACATCCATCCAGCTGAGTATGCATCCAGCTCCTCATTCATCCAGCTGGAACTGTGACACTCATGACTGATGTGGTACCTTGGTCAGGGTCAGACTGGACCTAGTCGAATTTGATTCTTTCTAACCCGTAGACAATAGGGCTTGTGGTCTAATTCCACCCTTGCCATCAACCCATTTTTCATACTAAATGGATGTAACTCACTTTCACTGCCACTCCCTTTGGATTCTGACTTCCTTCCCACACCCCCATCCACAGCAATGCTCAGTGAAATTTCTTCCCCATATTCCCTTGCCTGGCATTTCGATAAAATCAGCTCTTTCATGTTCTTTGTTTTATTTTCTCATACACAAAATAATACATCTGGTAAGTGACAACACTAGTAAACAAACCCATTCACTTGGGCTGGAGAGATAGCACAGTAGGTAAGGTGCTTGCCTTGCATGGGTCTGACATGAGTTTGGTCCCCCAAATGGTCCTCCAATCCCACCAAGAGTGATCCCTGGGCACAGAGTCAGGAGTAAGTAAGTAAGATATGGCCCCAAAACAGCAACACAAAATTCTTAATTCCTATGTTCACTTGTTAACTAAAGAAAGGGAGTAGAGTGCATTCAATCCAGCCTGTTTCAATCAAGATACAAAAAAAAAAAAAAAGGAAGTTGATATTCCAACCTTGTTCTAGCTAATTCAAATTCGTTCTTCCCTGTACAGTGTCTGAGGTAGTTCATCTTGTTATGAAAATAGCAATGATGGTGAATGAGAATGACTAATAATACTAACACATTCATAAGAATTTAAATTGAGTTTGGGTTTATTCTGCAATAGGCCCTTGGTCTTTCTCAGCTTCCTCCAACCTGGAATGGAAATGTCTGGTTTTCTTGCAATAACGGGAAAGTACCTTACTTCTCTCCCTTTCTGGAGAGCTAGAAAAGAGCAGGATAAGTATGGAAGTTGGGGACAAAAACAGTGGGGAAAGGTGTCCGTTCATCCTAGAAGACTACAGACCCGCCATTGCTAGATGGTTATCTTTTTCAAGACACATCAAAAGTCTGGGTTTTCTGCTCCATAAAATGCTAAACTAGCCAAACAAAATGCATCTCTGGACAGACAACTCTGTCTACAACTTCTGCTATAGAAGCACAGGCTGAGGGAGAAGATGACAGATAATAGAGCTGTGTCTTCTGCATTGAAGGTCAGGCTTCCCCACCTCCTACATCCGGGGCCTCTAACCACTCTACTGCATTATCACAAAATGGATAGAAAAAATGGTAGCTATCTCATGAGCACAAGATTTGCTATTTTTATTCATAAAATATGGGCATTTAATCAGTGTTTTTGTTGTTAATGGTTGGCTCTCTTCTACTCTCTATCTTGCACCTGCCCCTCCAGACCATTCCACTTCCGCCTTCCACCAACGCCCCCTCATACCAAGGATAAAGATCATGAACATCTGGCTGGAAATGACATCCAAGTTTATAAAAAAAATACAGGCACAACCTTCTTTCTCTTTCAGTGGATTGGTTCAATGACTGGTGCCTTTAGAAAGAGAGAAAATAGGACAGATTTATTTTACCAAATTAGTAAACTAGTATTGAAATATGGAACCATTGGCTGAGCTATATTCACCATCATCCAGAGAATAGATGAATAACCTTCATTTGGGAAATTTTGATGTATGACTTTTTCAAAACTTGTCATGTGACCCTTTAAAATGTCTCACAAATCTGTTTGGCTTTTCAGTTTATCTTTGTTAGAAGAATTCGACTGTAGCTGTAATGAACTGGAATCACTGCCTTCTACTATTGGCTATCTTCATAGTCTCCGGACATTAGCAGTTGACGAGAATTTTCTTCCAGAATTACCCAGAGAAGTGAGAAATAAATTTAGTTCTGTGGTTAAGTTTAAGGAATGTTTAGCATGACATTTTAACAGCTGCAGCAGCATTGTGAATTTGTGAGCTTAGTTGTGACTATGCATAGGGATTACCTACACATATATTTGGTGGTTCTCTTCTAACTGCTAAGTTCTTATGTTTAACCCTGAGAATGCATTTGACTTGAGCATTGCAAACAAAGTAATAAAATATCTTCGTGTAAAGTATATAATTTTATCTAATTTATGTAATTTGCTTAAAACAGTTATAAATAACATGTTGGGTCATTACATTTCTACTTCTGAAGTAAAAAAATGTAAATACTTTTAAGTATCATGTACTATATTAATTTATCAAGAAATTCTGTTAGTTTTGTCTTTAAGTGGGATTTAATTTATTTACGTTAAGAAAAATTGTGAAGTAGTTTTCAATTTTATATTTTCCGCTCAACAGTTACATAATGAAGTAAGAATAAACAACAAACAAACACTGTCCTCCCATTGTTCATCGATTTGCTCGAGCGGGCCCAGTAACGTCTCCATTTTGAGACTTGTTGTTACTGTGTTTGGCATGTTGAATACGTCACGGGTAGCTTGCCAGGCTTTGCCGTGCGGGCGAGATACTCTCGGTAGCTTGCCAGGATCTCCGAGAGGGGCGGAGGAATCGAACCGAACCCGGCTCGGCCGGGCTGGCTGTGCACAAGGCAAACGCCCTACCGCTGTGCTAAAAATAAACAGTATATCATAATTTAGGACCAAAATTTATGAGTAAGAAGACAAATATAGCATGAAGTAAAATTTGGTGAAGGAAATATCAATATTGTCAAGATTAAATCATCTATACAATCTTTCATTACTAACATTGATGTCTTAGTATTCATTTGAACTGACAAGACAAATAAAGATAACAGGTATTCTAATAAAATTTTGAATAAAGTCTTAATATAAAAATATTACTATAGTGTCTTAGTGCATAAAAAACTATACATAATATCCACATATTTAAAGAGTTAGATTATAAAAATTCAATACTTCCTCTAGTAGAACCTTGTGATGACAAAATTATACATTATTTATATTGTTTTATAAATTAGAAAATGTGACATAAAATTCTTTCTATACTATTTATTTATTACTTTTCTTTTGTTTCCCATACATAGATTGGAAGCTGTAAGAATGTAACAGTTATGTCTCTGCGCTCCAATAAATTGGAATTTCTTCCTGAAGAGATTGGACAGATGCAGAAACTAAGAGTATTAAATCTGAGTGACAACAGGTATTTCTGGAACACTTCACAATGATCTAGTAGTTATCTACTAAAATTAAATTCTCATTTGTTTTAATAATTTTGGAAACATCTCCTGTGTCTTATGAAGCATATGGGATCCAGATAGTCATGTTTTATTTAGAAAGTGGCAGAAGCTAAATTATTTATAAACTGAGCATTTCAAGATTTTATGATTTGATATTAAATTCATATATAATGTACATTAAAAATTATATAAAATGTATATACTCAGGTTTACATTTCCAATAAATTCCATAGGTATAAAACATATAATTATGAATATATGGGAACAAGAGTATAATGAAAAGCTACAAAATAAGTTAATATATTAAAGTGTATAAGTAGGTATATATGCACATCTATATATTTTCTTGTATATATTTTTTTCCCAAAACTAACTGGGTAGTGTGTATGTAGCCAACTCTACCAGAGTAGTGGGAAGAATATATATCCAGTAAGCAAATGTTCAAAAGTCATGTGCTTGCACATTACAAAAACGGCAATCGAGATCTTTTGTAGTCATGTCTGAGCAAAATGGACAAAGAAATGAGAAATTCTCTTGCTGTTGCAATGCTGCTATATTGGTGGATGGGCAAAAAGAAAAAGTGAAAAGCTAATTCATCTTTGTTTCTAAAACAATTATTCTTAAATAAGGAACAATAAAAAAATTGACTTAACATCATTGTAAGCAGATAAAGTAATTACAAAATAGAATGTATATGAACTCTTTGTTATCAATAAGCTCCCATCTTTTTTTAAAAGTGACATATTAACCAGGACAAAACTACCAAGGATGACTTTTATGGAATCCTAAAAGAGTGTTCAGATTCTGAAAGTTTCTAGGTAGATGTGGGAGTGTTCATCTGTATGTTAATTCCTTTAAAAAAAAGAGCAATAATGTTAATTTCAAAAATATTCACTTATGGGGCTGGAGGAATAGCATAGCAGGTAGGGTATTTGCTTTGCACGCGGCCAACCCAGGTTCAATTCCCAGCATCTCATATGGTCCCCTGAGCACTGCCAGGAGTGATTCCTGAGTGCAGAGCCAGGAGTAATCCCTGAGCATCACTGGGTGTGACCCAAAAAAAAAAAAATATATACTCACTTACTAGCTCACTAATCTCACCATGTAAAAGAATGAAAAATTTTATTAAAATATTTGGGAATTTATGTCTAAAATAAATGTGAAAAGGAAACGTTACAGCTCCATGCCTGAAGAGCAAGCCATGAGGATGTGAAGAAAGGTAAAAATAATAGCAAGTCATGCCAAACCCACTTCATTTCCTGTTTTGACTGGGACATCAGACACAAATATGAGGAAAACACATTGAATGTGGGCCTGTCTTTCAGTAAGACTTTTATTAAAAATTTCTAATATTTTATTAATAAAATTAGGAAATATGATCGTGAAGACATAATAGAAAGATGGAATCTCAGTGGACCCAACTACAGTCCCTAGTACAACTGGGTTTTTATGATGGCATCAAAGCATTTCCTAAATTCTAAGTCTGCTCAACTTTATTCATAATTGTATTAATATTCTGACATTCATACCAATACTGTGCATGATAATTTAGAAAACATAGAAACTATTTTTTATTTTATTTAATTTTTACAAAGTTGTCCACAATAATTGATTACATATAATATTTGAACACCATTCCCACCACCATTATACCTTCCCACCACCATATTTTCGAATATTTTCATCCTGAACCCCAAATCCCCCCCAAAGCAGAACCAAAATAATTTATTTTGTATTGCTTATTATGAATAATCTGCTAAAAATGATCCAAAAATTTTTCTGAGAGGGAAGTGTGTGAAGATTGTTGTATTTCACCAAGGAGCCATTAAGCCCTTCTTTGAGATTAGTAACATGTTGTTAAAGGTTGAGCCTTGTATATATGTATATATATGAGAATTTCATAGTACAAGTTTCAAAAACTGTCATCCAAAAGTAAAGCATGATTTATGTCACTTTAGTATAGTGATAATCACATAATATGGAGTCAAACTGATATTTTTAAATTACTGAATTCACCAATGCATCTTAACGTGAGGTTGAAGTCAATCTTTAGTCAGAGATCACAGTAACCATTACTACCAAAGGAGGCATTTCTTGGATAAACAATTAGATATGAAATCTTACCTAAAAGTCATCATTATTACAATTTTATGTTTAAAGTAGGGTAAGTTTTTTCTTCACTGGGGCCAGAGCAATGGCACAGTGGGTAGAGCACTACTCTTGTATGCCAGGCTTGATCCCTGGCACCCCACATGGCCCCACAGAGTCCTCCAGGAGTGATGCCTGAGTGCAGAGCCAGGAGTAAACCCTGAACACAGCCCATATTTGACCCCCAAAATAGATCAATAGGTAGGTTTTAAATATTCAATATTATAATTTCATACTAAATATTAAAATTTCATATCAACAATTTTGATTGTCCACTAAAAGATTACATTCATGGTTTATTTAATGCCTGTTTGTGATAATAAATACTCTCACTCAGTGGGGTGACTGGAAAGGCAGGAAAGATTAGAGTAACATTCTTTTTATTCCACCACTTTACTTAAACACTATGGTTTGCAAAGTTGTTGTGATAATTTCTTAGAGGCATTCAGTATTCCAACACAATCCCATTGTCACCTTCCCTCCATTTTCCTAAACACCCCTCAAGCCTGCCCCATAACAAGCCCACAATAATTTATTTTATATCGCTTGTTACCACTAACTGGTTAACAGAATGATTTCGGGGAAAAAAATTCTGTAGAAGAAACGTTGTGAAAACTGTTATATCTCAACATAGGGACACTAAGTCCTTGTTGGAGGACTTACTAAACTGTTGTTGCAAATTATGCTTTTCTTGTTAGTCAAAATTGGCTTTTACATTACATCCATCAAATCTAATCTGGTGTGCTACTACTGGGATGTCAGTATTATAGATTTTGGAGATGTTATGAGGGTGCAAATGCGGCTGTGTGCTCCAGAAAATCTAGAATATTTAATTGAGCAGTCCAGCTGGAAGCATGGTAGTCACTTTGGGATGTGGAAGTGCCTGTCAGGGCTTTGTTAGGACAGAAGCTGGCCTGCCCACTTCCTGAGGTCGCTTGGAGCTCTCAGCCGGGACTGGGTATCTGAGAAATTTTTGCAGCTAGTTGATCTCTTTCAAGATTTATTTATGAGTCTCTGGAACAAGGACAGTAGATGAGCTTACATGGTGGCAGCAGTGGGACATGGCATGCTGCCAGGTATTCAGGAAGTACAAGAAGATGGGGGAAGGTCGCCCATCCCAACTCCCAGAAGGCATGGAGTTTTAAGCCAAAAACACCCATGTACTTGAAATTTTCAGCAGATTAGTTTCTCTGTGGGGCCCAGTCTTGAGCTCGTAGAGTCCAGCCAGAGGCATGAAAGTAACTTTGGGGTGTGGAGGCAGCTGCCAAGACTTTGTTAGGGTAGGAGCTTGTCTGAAAGGGGCCGTTTCTGGCTCTGTGCTCAGGGCTCACTCTTTTAAGTCTTCCTAAAGTTATGTAGCTAGCATATATTTGATAATGACATGGCTGTTGATTTTTTTTTCATTTTTATTCAATTATTTGAAAATGATTGAGTGTTTAGTATATAAAAATGAACTGATTCCAAAATCCTTATTGTTATATTACCTTATTATATTCTTATTATTATATTTTCCACTTTCATTCATCAATTAACTCATTGAACGTAAGCATATTAAAGACAGGAAACTTTTATTCCAAGTTACATAAAAAAGTTTATCTAATGTCAATATGAATACACAGACATAAACAATAAACTCATTGGTATGCCTTGCTTGTTACTACTCTGCAATTTTCTAACCTCTGAAATCACAATTTATTGATCATTCCCAACATTAGGGATTTCAGATAGTGTGTTGGAGTAGGCACTTGGCAATTTTCCCCTCAAAGCTCAATGAATCATTTTGATTGAATGCCAAGGCTGTTACAGAACTTCACATATCTCAAAATGCTTCTTTTTAAAAGATGTCCTCTCTGAATAGCTTCTGCACAATATACAAGGGGAAGGAGAACAAAGAGCACACTTTTAGGAGTCAGCAGAACATTGGGAGCTATAAATTCCTTCAGTAATAAGAGCCCAGAGCCATGAAGCCTACAGTTTTGTGGAGCTATTAAATGGGAAAATAAATACATGTTAACAAACTGTGACATGTTACATGCAGGAAAGTGCAAGGTCCTTTGAGACTAGAATGGGGACAATAATTCAAAGGAGGAATCCAGAAAAAAAACCTACTCAATAAAATAGTTTTCAAGTGAAAGGGAAAGGAAACGTGCCCCGTTAAGTGTGGGAGAAAGAGTATTCTAGAAAGAGAAAAGAGCTGGTTTATTCTCAAGTAGGCTATCTGTACTGGACAGACATCAGGAATAGAGCAATAGGAAGCTACAAGAAGGCCTGAATATGTGGGTGTCGCTGTATCTCTGTATCAGTGTCATCCTGTTGTTCATCGATTTACTCTAGTGGGTGCCAGTAACGTCTTCATTCTTCCCAGCCCTGAGATTTTAGCAGCGTCTCCTTACTTGTCTTTCCCAACTCTGCCATATTGGAGGCTCTTTCAGGGTCAGGGGAATGAGACCCATTATTTTTATATTTTTACTATTTTTGGCATATCAAATACACCAGGGTTAGCTTGCCAGACTCTGCGGTGCAATTTTATTTTAAATACCATGAAAGCATTTTGAGGGGTTGTAGTATTTTAAACAGGAGATTATCACATTGGAAAAGTTGTTCAGCTACTCAAGGGAGAAAGAATTAAAGAGAACAAAAGAAACAGCAAGAGTACTGTGATTCTTTATAAAAGGGAACTTTATCTGTCTTCACCGGTGCTATTAAAATGTTCTTGTTTTTTCAGATTAAAGAACTTACCATTCTCATTTACCAAACTTAAGGAGCTTGCAGCTTTGTGGCTTTCTGATAATCAGGTAAAATCTTTTATTACCTGGCTTATTTTGTTTTTTTAACAAGTCATAATTGAAATTTTGAATTACTATCTGTGTCCCCGTAAAAGCCCTTGGCAGTTGCTACAAAATAAAATTCTGTATCCCCCTGGAGGGAGATTTTTGTAAAGGTGGCAACTGAATTATGAAGTTGACTGCTGTCGACAAAACCGTTCCATCACCCCACCCTCTTTAAATGCTTCAATTTAGCATCAATTTCATTCTCAGAGATCTAATTCACAAAACGATCGTTATAGCTCTTTAGCTCTAGGTGGTACAGATAAGTCCTTGGAGGATGTACTTTAATTATATCTCTGAAGGTAAAGAAGAAGAAAATCATTACCACAATCCCCATAAGAGGGAATTGTTACTTTCCACATTCCTTCTTCTTCTCACACTTTTAATTATAATCAACTTCATTCTAAGACTCTTTTGAAGGTACATGCTGCTGTCTTCTGTATTATCAGTGCTTTTCATGAAATTATTTCTGACACTACTCCATAATTGCATAAAGACACATTCCCATGAAATCAGTCATTGAGGGTTAAGGCATAACTTCATTATCTGGAAAAGTGAGGACATCTGATGTGCCACCAGCAAAACAGGTGACCAACCATTTTGACACCATTTATTTGTCTTCTTTTAAATCTTTTGCCTATCTACTGAAAACTGGAAAACCCTTATCCAAAATGTGAATAGAAAAATGACAAGACAACACCTTGAGTTGAATTTATCATTATTTTCTGAGCACTGAAGCAGCATTACTGAGAAGTCAGTGGTCAGGTTTCCTGATAGTGGGCCACCTTTGTGGCAGATTATTCTAAACCTCTGCAAAGTGGAGATAATGTTTGTTTCTACAGTTATTGAGCAGTTCATTCTATCTGCCGAGTGAAAAAAACAAATATATTGTCATTCAAATTCATATTTCATCAATAAATTAGAAATTTTTAGTGCATAAATATGCCATTATCAATAAATCATTCTGGGAGTCACTGTGATCTGTGTTAATGTATTTAGCATAGAATGTAGCTACTCTCGGTCTTGTGTTGTGAAAACATCTCCTAATACTATGATTTATTATTCTTGTGGGAGAATGAACAGAACTGTGACTGCATCATTTAACTTCCATTTAGAATAGTGATTTAATGTGTTTCTGGCTTAGTTTCATGACACAAGTTAGTATCCCAAATCCCCTTTAAGCTTCACTCCTATTAATAAATGTCATGAAAGAAGTGGATTTTTAAAACATTAGATAATATTATTATTTCCAATATATTTCTGGTACATCAGAGTTATTTAAAAAACCTTTTAAAAACACTATGTCTGAGAACAAATTAATAATAGAAGATGAATAATAACTATCCACTGTTAAACATAATGTGACATATCAGATTCAAATAGAGTCACTTATCTGTGTGTGAACCGTGTCTTTCTTTATATAAAATATCTAATAAAAGTAAATGTTCAGGGACTAACTCAAAGGTCTGAGTCCATGCTATGTATGTCAGAGGCCCTTGTTCCAACCCTGTCACTACCTGGTCCCTCAAGAACTGCCCATAAGAAACCCCCGAGACCCATACTGGGTATAGCCTCTGAGTAGCATCAGCTATGGCAAAACAAAGACCAAAAACATGCTTCTGTTTATCCTAATTAAATTCATATTTTCTTGGATAACATAAATTTTAGAGCAAATTCCATTTGTCTTTCTAGAATAAGAGTTCATGAAAATAAATGGGTATGTAGAACAAAAATTGCTTAGTTGTAGCAATTCAACACATTTTGGTCCCTTTTGGATTCAAAGTAACCTTGTCCAGAGAAGATGAATGGGTATCAAAGAGTATAAACTAGAGAAAATAAAACTCATTATGCTTTAGAATTTGAAAATACTTCTCAGTGATAGTGTTGCCTTATGCTGGATTTTTCCTGAGTGTGTGAAGTAAAATGGTTTTATTTAGAAAAATAAGAGGGAGGGAAGGAGGGAGGAAGGGGGGTGGAGAATACATGGGCTTCTGTGGGGAAAACCAAGATTATGCTATACATTTTTATTTCAGTACTTTTACTTATTCTTCTTTTAATTGTTCATTCAACTGGGTGAGAATTGACTAGTATGTTTACCATATATAGAAGAGATATTCCTCATACTTGCTATACATTTCATCTAATTTATGTATTTTTTGCTTCTAGTCAAAAGCCCTAATCCCTTTACAAACAGAGGCCCATCCAGAAACAAAGCAAAGAGTACTGACTAACTACATGTTTCCACAGCAACCTCGTGGTGATGAAGGTAAATTGGCAGAAACTCCTTTGCTTATACTTAAAACGGTTTTAGGTCAAAGAGACTAGCTTTATTTTTTTATCTCTGGTGAAATAGTTAGGGAAAATTTACTGACATACGTAAGTCCTTTGGGCTTTAACTCTAAGGATGAATCTCTTCCACTTCATAGTATTTTGAGAAAGGTTCTAAAACACAAATCTTCCTCTTCATATCTTGCATGGAATCGCTGTTAACTTTTAAGAATAACGTCTTTTAGGGATTGCAAGGCATATCGCTGGTTAAATATACATGGAACCCAGCTGAAAACAACTCAGTATAAAAAAGATTTTAATGAACTGATATTGCCTGTGTTCATTCATTTCATAAACACATTTTAAACATTTCATCCTGTGATCTCAGGCCCCACTTTATTTCATGGTAAGAGTCGACCATAGATCCAGAGAAATAGTGCTGTGGTAAGGTGTTCATGTGGTAAACTGAGGTTTATCCCCTCTACACTGCATGTGATCCCATGAACCCGGCCTGGAGTGATCCATGAGCACAAACCCAAGAGTGAGCCCTGAGCACTGTCAGTCATGACCCCAAAACAAACAAACAAAAATGAATAGACTCTAAATAATTGACTTATAGGTAGCAATCACCTTTTCCTTTTCCATTTGTTTTCCTAAAAAAATGTCAGAAACTGTGAATGGGAAAAAATAGACTTATTTCAATAATTAATCTTCTATTCTCACATTTCATAAAATATTTAAAAGAGGTTTGTCTTTTGCTGTTTGAAACTTAGCATATAAGCTCCTCATCTCAAATCAGCACAGAGTGTCATTTAGTAGACTTCTTATGGAAAAAGTAAGAATCATTTTTTTTTTATTAGTGAAGCACCATGAGGTACAGTTGTAGATTTACAAATCTTTGTGCTTGGGTTTCGGTCATACAATGATCAAATGCCCATCCCTCCACCAGTGCCCATTTTCCACCACCATGGATAATCATTTTAAACCACCCACAGATCAAATCTGTCTAATACATTTAGATGGAACCAAATTTTTAAGGAAACTATTTGCTTATATATATATATTTTTTATTTTTAGGCATAACTTAAAGACACTTAGTCTTTTATTTATATATGTAAGTGGATCTTTTGTGAATATTTCCCAATATTTTTATTCAAACTTTTACTTACAGAAATAGAAAAAGAGATTATTTTAATATGCATTTTCAGACTTCAATAAAATTAATCTTTTAAAAATATGAAAAAACAGTCACATGCCGAGTAGAAGAAAAATCTCAAGTGAGGATTACATTTTATTCATGCAACTTTGCTTATATTTCTATTTTAATATCCCTAGATTCTCAAAATATATCATCTCTAAAGGACACACAGAAAAAAATTAAAGTAACTCATGTTTGCTGGTTATTTCTGAGATCTAGTCTCACTGATCAAATCCCTAATTTTTCCCTCAGAGGTAGATCTAGTTAGATAACTGTGATGTTAAGAAATTAACCTGTTTTGTTTTGCTTTATTGTTTCACTTTCAGTAAAGAAAAGTTAATAATAGGAAATTCTAGGCAAATTCCTTTGTTTGATCAGGCAGAAATGTTAAAAAAAAAAGTTTTGAGAATCCCTTGTAAAAAGGAAATATCTGGAAATATTCATACTACAGGGCAAAAAATCTACACTAAATTGAGTAATTGGGTTTTTTCATGTGATCTTCACAATAAGGTTGCAAAGAAGATATTACCATTAATTAATGTGTTGATTCAAAATAAAGATTTATAAGCTTTTATTTTCCCTATTAATTTGAGACACATTTAGAATAATTGGTGTCTTAATATTAAACTTTAAATTTTCCACATGTCCATTTCTTTGTTTTAAATTTTTTGTTAGTGAATCACCGTGAGATACAGTTACAAACTTTCATGCTTGTGTTTCAGTCACACAATGGTCGAGTACCCATTCCTCCACCAGTGCCCATTTTCCACCACCAGTGGTCCCAGTATCCCTCCCACCACCCCCGCCCCATCCCCTCCACCCCACCCCGCCTCTGTGGCGGGACATTCTCTTTTGCTCTTCTCTCCTTTTGGGTGTTGTGGTTTGCAGTAGAGGTATTAAGTGGTCATCATGTTTGGTCTATAGTCTACTTTCTGCCCCTCTGGGGATGTCCATTTCTTTATAAAACAAGTCCCACTCATATCCGCTCCTAGTCACACACACCCAAAGAAAATATTTGCAAATCTCACTTTCAGAAGAGATGCTACCTAGTAATTATCTGTTATAAAATCCTGATAGTTTAGTGATTGAAAATAGAAGCTGTGTAATCACTCAGGCATGGACTAGAATTCAGCCCTGGCAGAAAACAAGCAATATATCATGCATCATGAATTGCAGATTATTTTAGTTCTACCATTCTGCAGTTGTACAGATTAAAAGAGGCTTTCAGGTGGTTAGTCCAACCCTCTCAATTATCACTGTCCAAGGGAGAATTCATGCTTTCCACTGTCAAGACTTCCCACTCCCAAAGTACCATTAATGTACACTTAAGAGGCTGAATTTGACTTAATTTGTTAAATAAAAGTATGTGACAAATATCAAGAGAATTTATCCCCTTTTCTCTTTCTTCCTTTCTGTATTTCATTCTTTCTCTTTATTTGCCCTTTCTCTATTGATGTTTTGTGTTTGTTGTATTACCTATCTTTAAAAAACAATAATACTTTGGAATCTAACTGTAGATTTCCAGTCAGACAGTGACAGCTTTAACCCTACCCTGTGGGAAGAACAGCGACAACAACGTATGACAGTTGCCTTTGAATTTGAAGACAAAAAAGAAGACGACGAAAGTGCTGGGAAAGTTAAGGTGAACCTTTTAATTTTTGTTTCCTCTTTCTTCTCATCTTTTTTACTCATCTATGACTATGGTCCAAATGGACAGGAACAAACTGAGTGACCTCTGCTAGAAGGTTAGCTACATCTTTAAGTATCCTGGTGGTCCCTTTCTATATACCAGGATGTGAATTCCAAAAGCACTGGTGTGCTTCACTGGTGAATGAAACTCGCGTCCCAATTCTGACTGAACAAAGTTGACATGTCAGCTCATCTTACAGAGTAACGTGAAAGAGATTCAAGCTGAGTGAGAGACAAAACAAAACAAAGAAAAAGCAAAAGCAAAAAATAAAAACAGTCTGGGCAATGGTCTTCACTTGAGCTCTTACTTCTTTGAAATATGGAAGCAATTTTCTGTTCATTCTGAGCAAAACATCTTGCAGTTTGTATGAAGCCAAAATACACATTTACAGGAGAGCCAACAGATTAATATGTTACATTGGCATTAAAATATCTGAAATATTTTTATGTTCTTGTGGTATTTGAGAAAAATTTATTAGCATTGTTCATATGAAGACAAGTTTTATAAAGGAGGTGAGTATACCTGATAATGAACCTAATAGCTCCTTAAGAAAAAATAACTTCTGTTTTTTAAATCTCAAATCATAGTTTTAAAATCCTTTATTAAAGTGAATCTCAGTCAAGTAAAAAATTGACTTATTTAAATTTCTACTGGCCATTATTTATGAGACAGTAGCAGAATTGATATACATTTTATCAACATTATTTATACTATCACCATGGCAACATCTTGAATCTCTCTTTAATGATGGTGTTATCTGTGTACTCTTTCCATCATGGGTACTAACAGCTCTCGTTTCTGGTGACTAATGACCCAAGTAATAATACATGTATCTTGGTTCTGTGGTGTGTTCTTTTTGCCTGCACCCTTATTCCCCCATAAGCTAAGCTTTTTCTTTAAACCAATACACTCTAGAAACAGTAAGTTGATTGAAAGGTTAAACTCTACCATTGTGGAGAACCCAAACTAGATTCCCGAGTCAAATGACAATTTTGTTAAAGATTTGGTTTAAAAAAAAATGTTTCCAGATGCTTGGTTAGTGCTGTCTACTAACTAGAGACATTTTTGTTACTTGTGCATTCCTAGAAAACAAAAATAATGCAAAACTAAAAATAAACAAAGATCTGTAGAACATTTTCGTTCTCCTTTTAAGGATTTAATATTTTAAATCCAGAAACAATGCATGATGCATTGTATACTGGATCTCTGATTTATTGTTTTGCTTTGTTGAATGTGAGGAAAATACATACTTCTTCCTAAAATAAATCTGTATCCAAAGTACCCAAGAAGAAAATAGTGCATTTAATATACTCCTGTATATGTGTCAATGAAAACATAAAATACAGTAAATGCACAGTTATTTAGAAGCCCTGTTTGTGTGTCATATGACCAAGTTTGTTTATAATCAGAGTAGGTTCATTATACTTTAGAGTGCTTTATTTAATTTATATTTAGTTCATAAACAGAAACAGTAGTGTTTCAAAAATTTCAAACTACTTGGCACTGACTAATTTGAATCTTTCCAATATCATTGGCTATTGGACAAATTAGAACACAAACAAACTTCTAAATAAATCATCATGGAAGTATGCTGAGTGGAATATATTGAAACCTCGCACTAAATTAATCCCTCTTCTGGTTCATTACATGTACATTAAATTTAGCACCGATTTACCTTTCATCTGCATCAAATTTGAAAAGGAACCTCTGACCTATGCCATCAACTTCCAAATGAACTAGAGTATAATGCCCTACCAGGAGTGTGCATTGTGTTCATGCCAACGTTGTGTCCTTGAGCCTCATACGATCATTTGGTGCTGTTTGATTACTTAGAGTTGAAATTGATGGGGGGGGGGGGGGGTGGATGTCTGAAATGCCTTATCCAGAGTGGAAAAAAAGAAAATCGAGAAATAGAACCATGATAACGTGAAAGTCTTGCTACAGCGCTCCTCTTTCTCTCAGAAAATGGAGATTCCTTCTCCCACAGGATCTCTCCTGCCAAGCCCCCTGGGAAAGGGGCCAGCGTGGGATTACTCTCCAACCCGCCAGGCTGTCTGGCGACTGCTGCACACCATGGGCCAGGTGTGATCAGCAGATCCAAGATATGCCCGTTCCCCAGAATGACCCCCAGCTGGCATGGGGTTGTATAAGTGGCCTCCAGCAGGACAGGAGCTTGTGTCCTCCAATGCCAGTTGCAGCACAGGCCACCACTCTACCCTCTCTAAGTGGCAGACAGGTAGGCCTAGGCGTCTGGGGTAGGAGTCTTCCCCTTGTAGAGGCAACTTTGGAACAGTGGTTGATGGGGTATGTCCTGCATGGCTGGGGGCTAAGAAACGCTGATCCTATGGCAGCCTTCCCAGGGCCAATGTTTGATCCCAGTTTTAATTTTTTGCTCTTGGGGATGGCACAGTGGGATGGGGAGATCTAAGGCAGAGCGGGGAGGAAACGCCGATAGGAGGTGCCTCTGGGTGGGATGTCTGGAATGGGTTTTGAGTTGGGTGCTTCATTTTTATTTATGTTGCTATTTTTTCGAGGGATTTTTCTTTGCCTCTTTCAAATCCGGGGATACCAAGAGTTGGGCAGACTGTTGATGATGCCATGAATAACATCTAAATTGTCCCTGCGCACGCACACACGCACGCAGGCACGACCAATCAGTTTTCTAGGTTATCGATTCCCAGAGGAGATGAAATAAAGATCAATAACCTTGATCTTCAAATAGCAGGATATTTGAATTGAGATTTGCTGAGAGTGGATTTTGAGCACAAAGATGGGCATCCGTTGAGAAATATCGATTTCCCTTTAATTTTAATACAGATTATGAGAATTCCTGTAAGAGAAGATTGGTTTGGGAGTTGTGGCAAATAAGGCTTCCTTATCTTAGTGGAGTGGGTTTTTTAACAGAATGTCTCAATCGGTTGTTAAAAAACAATGAATTATTGGTAAACTTTACCATCCGCATGTAATGGACTTAACTCTTGCTCTGTGTCTTATATTTTTTCTATAATATAAGACAAGCTAAGAATGCATTCCCTAACTAAAACTGCCATGGGTTTCCTTTTGATGTAAGATGTTCTGATTACCGCCTAGAAAATATTTATCAATAATCAAAGCATTAACTATCATTTCTCTTACTGGAATTTACAACCAAATCTAATCCAAATTTAACACTTATCTAAGAAGATCACAGTTCTGTGTGAATCTGAGAAATTTCTAAATTCCCTAGTAAATTACTTCTTTCCTTCATTGCTGAATTTGGGGTCTCTCCAACACTGCACAGCAGTTATTAACATTTATTGCACTTTACTTAGACCTGGTCTATGAAGAATGCTGTGAAACATCTCTTTGTTCAAAAATTAAAGTAACATTTCAGTAATGATGTTTCATTTTAATGAAATATACATGTAAATGAACAAATACTTTATGGTGAGTAGATGTATACAACATTTTGGTAGGAAAGTAGATTCTTCCGATCTACACGCTTAATAGATGAATCTGCATATTTTTCATCTCATATAAAAATAATAGGGGAATATTTCCAACCTACATACTTAGAAATATAAATAACATGCTTTTGGCCTTGAGCTTACTGAGCTACTCATGTCAATATGCTTATTTCTTTCTAAATCATTGCATATCAAAGACTAAGAAGACAAATTAGCCAGAAAGAGAGCATAAAATATGCTTTTACAAGACTTTAAACAAAATTATAAAGTATCATAATTTCATTATTAAAATATTATGTAAAATATTATGCTTGTTTTAAAATTTTTTCATTTATGAAATTATCTTATTTAGCTAAATAAAGTTTATACTTTAGACACAGTAATTCTTCCACAAGATTGTTAAAAACATAGCTTGTATTTATTTCATAGAATAGTTCTGAGTCCAGTAACGCTTTTATAAATTAAGTTTTGGACTTAAAGACCAGTATCTGAATCTGAGTATTGCTACCTTTAGCCATATGACATAGAATAAGCAACTTACCAGAATTACTGTTTCTTTCTGTAAAATGGGAACAGATGATATAATTGGTTGTGAATTTCGAATGTTATTTAAGCATAATTAGTTATTAATAAATTCACATTATTATTGATCACTTCTCAATCTAAAATTGATAGGTAAATAAGAAAATGATTATTATTATTGATTACTTAAATGGCTAATAATAAGTTAAATATGCCCACAAGACTCTTGCATATCTACCCTTAACATGATAAATACTAAATAGATAAATATTAGTTGATAGTACATATACAATCTGAAAAAAATTTAGACAGGTAATATGATAGATCATTCATGGTATCTAGATTTGGGAAATATATACATAGACTCTAACATTAGAAATAGTATTTCATCTCTACATAGAACTTTAAAATTTTTCACTCTAACATCTCATTTTAACTAGATTAACTCAAGCATAGGGGAGAGATATTATTCCCATTTTACATCAGTGAAAAACTGGACAGGAATATTAGTGATTCATTGCTAGTGGAGGTAAATCTGTGACTTAAAATTAGGACTACTGATGCCAAGTGCGGTAAATTCTAGGCAGATGGGAGACAGGTAGGTTACCATGTAGGTGGAACAAATTCAAATTTTATGAGGCCTGAGCTTCCACAGTTTGGGGAAGGGTTTCTTGAAAGAAAAGAATGATCTAAAACCATCTAAATAAGTTAGTAGGGCCCCTTACAAGGCTTTGAGGAGACCTATGAACATGATAGGCCCTCAAGCTTATGCTTCAATTAGCTTCATTGAAAATCTGCTCCTGTTTCTAGACTTAAGTATTTTTACCTAGCATACACTCTGGCATCTGACCAAAATATCACATTAACTTGCTTTTAAACTAACCAGAAAATATTAGTGTCATTGCTATTAGTCGTCTTCTAATTGTGTCAGACTAGACATAGCATCTACCAAAATAGATTACATTACTTGATGAAGCATTCATGTAATTCAATTAAGGAGGAACATATTTTTTGTCTTTGATTAAATTTAGAAGTGTAATTTTAGCATTGATGACTTTTTAAGGTGCATAGAATTTAAGTTTAATGACCTACTTGCAAATTATTTTTTATTCATAAACCATAGTTATTACAATGTTTAAATATTCTTAATTGTGGGAATAGTCATACCATTCCACAATTTACATTTATAATGTAGTACTTTTTTACTTTTAGACTTTTGATATCAGATACTTGAAAGTTTAACAATATAGTTTTTTTAAGTTTAAATGAAAGATTAACAATAAAATTCTTTTAAGTTAAAGTTAACTTTAATTTGTAACTAAAATTTCCAATGTTCATTTAAATATCAAATAAAAATACTAATGTATACAATAGACATTTATCATATTTAAGAATTCAATAGAAATTCAACAGTCTTAATCATTTATATTGTATTATAATGTATAATATATAACCATTTATATTATACTCAACAAATCATACATTTTTCTTTACAATCCTTTTCTTGGGTGATATTTTCATCACTTTGTTTCTATCTATTAATTTCATCTATTTATTGAGAAGTATAAAAGATTAACTTGCATAATGTTTTTGCTTACAAGATAATCTTTCAAAAATGTTTACTGGGAAAAATATTTTGTATTTTAGCACTGAAAGCAATGTTAAAAAAAGTAGAGTCCAATCTCAGCATATGACAAAAAACAGGAGTCATAGACCAAATGCTAGAGTAACAAAGTTGGTGGATTTGCTAAAACTTGCAGATGAGCAAAAGTGTTTGAATTCCTATTTAAAATCCTCAGATCTATGCCACCTCATAGTTTCTCACATTGCATGGGGGTCAGTAAGTGTCTGCCTCTCCCTCTTCCTCTTTTTCTCACTCATCCCCACTTTCTTCCTCCTTCAGCAGCTCATCCACCTTATCTTCTCCCTCTAATACCCCCCAAACACACTCTCCACAGACACATACTCGCCACAATCACATAAACCATCCCATTTTATAAAGTTGGTTCTACTCAGATTCAAAACTATTGCATGATTTTTGGAATAAACCAGGCCGAGTAAATATGCCCCCTTATTTTTCTTGCCACTCTCTTTCAGTCAGAGTGGATAATTTATACATATAGATGTATATATATATATACACACACATACATATATTTATGTTGCATTTTAAGTGTAAGTACCTTCATAATACGGTATTCTATAGGGAATATCTTATTATTTTTGTCTAAATTGATTATTAGCCATTAGCATGAACATTCTGTTAAATTGGACTAAAACACTAAAATTGATCTCAAAAATGGAAATAAACGTCTGGATAAATATTAGCCAAAATGTGTATTTATACCTAAAAGATCATCCAAAAAGTTCTCAATTTTTTAAAAATCTCTGTTGTAACTTACTACCAACAAGCAAAATCTAAATACCAGGAAGCATTTTTTAGTTAGTACTAGCAAGTATTTTCTACCCTCACATTTGATGTAACAAGCAACACAGAACTGGTGCATATTTGGATAGCAGGTATTATCACTTCTCCCTTTTTCAGTACATGAAAGCTCTGCTTGTAAGTCCTTTAGGGTCCTACATTAAAAGACAAAGATATTTAACCTCAAATAAATTACTACTAAATAAAAAAGATAGGAAAGGAAGCGGTCTCTCATGTATAAAAACAGTTGATAGTAACGATTACATTTTCAGAAGTTACTGGTCTTTTAAGTGACCTGATGCTATTCAACCATGTATGGAGAGGAGGACCTAACGATTGGTTAGAGCCAGGAATGTAGCTCAGTGGTAGACCTTTTGCCTAATGGCAGACCATATGTAAAGACATGGGTACAATTCCTGGTGTCACACACACGCAGACACACACACACACACACACACACACACACAGATTGGATATAATTCAAAATTGTTTTCAACCTAGTAGGGTGGGCAGGGGTGAAGAGAAGTCCCTGGAAGCATGATGTGAACAAAACTTTGGCTCTCCATCAGTTTTCCAGCCTGCTCACCATGTTGCATTTGTTTATGCTACTGCACGTGAAACGGAGTTGTGTTGTGGATTTGCTCGCTGAAGGTATTTTTTATGTTAAATTTCTTTTTATAAACTTCTAGGTTGAAATAAACCTAAAACGATATCCAACTCCTTACCCAGAGGATTTAAAGAATATGGTAAAATCTGTTCAAAATCTGGTGGGTAAGCCAAGCCATGGAGTGCGTGTTGAGAATTCAAATCCAACTGCTAACACGGAGCAAACTGTGAAAGAAAAATATGAACACAAGTGGCCTGTAGCCCCCAAGGAGATTACAGTGGAGGTATTTCAAGGTTATTGGTAATTGCCAGTGTGGTTTGGATTTTTTTTTGAATACTAAACAATTCGGTTTTTTCAAATATAATAAATCTTCCCTAATAATTCCATCTTTTCCCTAAAATATAAATAAGCCTCTCTATCCTACAAAACTATGAGGGTTGCATTTAATAAGTCACAGACAAATGATACCCTTGTGGCTTTAAATCAGTAACAAAGTTCCAAAAGTTCCAATACACATAGAAGGAATAACTTGCTCTGTTAGATAAGCAAGGCCAAAAATCCAATTATATCATTTTCATGAGATCCTCTTGGCTACCACAAACTTCCACTGGAAAACTTGTCAGGAAAACTTAAATGAAGTGTTGTTTATTGTTTTTGTTCTTTTTTTCAATTCCACAAATATCAGTAATTTCCTGACATCTTTTAGGGCCAACTTTTTTTAAAATGCTTTCAAGTTTTGATTACAACCTTTAAATGAATATCACTATAAACAACAAAAATGGAAGATTTTTAAATTTAGCTTCATGTCACTTTTAGTCATGGAAAATTTCATTCCTATTAGTTTATAATTATTTAGATATATTCCTCCTTATCAAGCGTATTTGGTCTGAAGAGAATTCAACTACATTTTTGTCACCTCTGTACTATCTCATCAACTCTTCAGCTTATTTGATTCTCACCTTTTTATCTTCATCAGAAACACAATATGAGTTCATCTAGCAATTCTTATGCCTACTTCTTAAAAATCTATATTTGCAAAACTCTTTTACAAATCTGCATTTTAAAGTATCATTCATCATACACCAACTAGTTTATTTAACACTGTGCCAAATACTGTGAGAGAAAAAAGAAATAGAAAATGTGTGCCTGGGCCCCAGATAATTTATTCTCAAAAAGTCTAGTACAGACGAGGTTATTAAAGAACAATTTAAGGGCCAGAGAAACAACTCCACTGGCTGAGTATAACCCACATATGTTGGAAGCCCAGGTTGGATCCCTGACACCATATGGTCCCCTGAGCACCACGTGGGAAAACACCAAAAATACCAAGAAAATAGTAAAGTATGATCGGATGGTTGGTGGTAGCAGAGAATATGATACAGATGAGAAGCAGGAGAGAAAATTTATCATTGACAAGAGTTACATTGAACAATTTTAAAATTGGATTGCTTATTAAAGATGGATTAATTCTTTTAAAGTCATCAAAAGGCATGGGGAGTGTACATTTCAGACAAAAAGAAGAGTTTGAGCAGAAAAAAAAGATGGATAGCTTTTCGGCTGGCACCAACAGCCCAGGAGAGAGAATATGCAGGAAAAATTTAGATAAAAATGATGTTCGTTGGTATTTTAATTTTGATTAAAAAATTGGTAATTTTGTATTTTCCCTTTTCCATTCCAAATGATATGAAATAGCAAAGCAACAGGCTTCTTTATCTCAAAGACACTGGAAGAAAACCCACATTTATCAATACACATACACAATATGTATATGCTTTCATGTAACCATATTTGACATCGGTTAACAGGGAGGTCCTGATAATCCATAAACTAAATAATTTCACTACAAAATAAGAAGATCCTAAGTCACTTAATGCAAGGATAGAACCGGTGAGGTAAGGGAAAGGTGACTTTCATTGTGAATTTAATACCCTATATTTGGAGGGGGGGAGGGATTCTAAGTTATCCCACCCAAACTTCCAGATGACAAGACCACAGTTCCGTTAAATGTTTCTTCCCCAAACTTACTTCTGCTCCTGTCTCCTTGATCTTGATCTGAGCAGGTACCATATTATCTACTAGTTCTCTCAATTCAGAAATCTGGGAGTCCTATTTTTTTTTTGTCCTTCTCTCTCGCCCTTCACAATCACCGAAGTCTGTTTATTCTCATCAGGAACAGTTCTCCAGACCCTCAACACTGACCTTCATGACTGAAAAAGATAGAAGCTTCTTAGCTACCCAGTCCCCCACTTTCTAAAACCCACAGCTAACCTTGCCTTTCTTGAGAACATGGCAGTTGCTTCTTAGTGCCTACCTAAGATTCGATTAGCCAACCACTCTATACGGGGCTAAGTTTGAAAGAAAACCTTCAGATTTTTCTTTCATTATAAGATTCATCTCACTCTTAGTTTTCTTCTCTAACTGGCCTTTTTTTTCTTGATTAGAAATCTCATGGTACTAGCAATACTTTTACTAAAATATGACTTTAAAATCCAATTTCTAGATTATTCCTCAACTCTTACCCATCCCAGTGGGCAAAAGAGAGATGTTTCTTTCTGTCTCATCCTCTCGTCTCAGATTATTGCCTGCCGATTAAGGAGGCCATATTCCAGATATAAGAGCTACAGAGAACCAGGTGTTAAGCTGATCCATTTCTATTAATCATTTTTATTATGTCTTGCTCTTGTATGATATTGTTAAGTCATCTTTAGTAACTGTGGAAAAGAATAAGTCCTATACACTGCTTTGGAGTGCTTCTCCATGTGGCTCAAGAGGGAATATCAAAAATTAATGAAAACTAGAAGTAGGCAGAACCAGAAGCAGAAAGAAGAAATCGAGATAAATAAGTCACAAATGTATCAGAGACGGAAAAGAAAAGGTAAACCCACGTTTATTGATTATTTCCTTTGTCACAAATCTCTGCAAAGAAAAAGAAATCTCTGCAAAGTATTCTAACATGCTATGTGTGTTGAGAATCTGACCCATTGGGCTTTGGAGAACCAAGTGGTTAAGGAGAAAATTTTTTGTTTCTTGCTGACTTCCTAGAACCAAGTCTTGAGAAGTTTACATTTTTGCCCTGCTCCCCCTCATCTCCCATAGACAAGCAACTTACAAGCAAAAGTTTTTTTTTAATTAATTTTTTTTTTAAATGGGGACTGGAAAGTTCACCATCAAGGTGCCAGTGGAATCAGTGTCCAGCGAAAGTCCATTCATCTGGCTCACAGGTCATAGAGTCTTTTTGCCAAGTCCTCTCATGGTGGAGAGGCAGGCAACTGTCTAGGATCTCTTAGCAGGGTATAATTGTATTCATGAAACCTGTACTCATATGTCTGCTCCAGACTACTTGCCAGCTTTGAAGGAACTAGCTCTTAAGACCAGCACAGATGTTCCAACATTTTAGAGGTGTCTGTGGTACCCTACTCTCTCCACAGCTCATATCTCATCATCTTACCAGCCCTCTTCACCCTGATCCCTAGAATGCTCTGAATTTTCTCTATTACATCATCTTCTTTGATAACACAGAATGAAAATCTTCTAATTATTTTATGTAGTGATTTCTGGTTGTGAGCTATATAAGGGCAGAGACTTTGTCCTTGCCAACACTGTGATGTACCGTATTCCCTCCCCATCCAGTTAGGGTTCATGCACAATAAGGGACACTTTAGGTTTTCAAAGTATTTTCTGAGGTGCCTGAGAGACTGAGTGCCTGAACATCTAATGCTCTCACTCTGGGAACTTAGCATTCTCTGTGTCCAAGTTGAAATTCTCAGAAGGCAAAGACAATTACTCTGTATTCATTGAATTAATGATTGATTATTGGCTGCCTTCCATAATCCACATTTTCTCTCTTAGATGTTGAGTACCATGTACTTTTAACAATATAAGATCCTTCTTAATGCTACTCATGATTTAACATATTTATGTTATGTATATTAATTTCATTTTTCATTTCATCATCCTGTTATTCGTCGATTGCCTCGAGCAGGCCCCAGTAACGTCTCCTTTATCCTAGCCCTGAGATTATATTCAAGGCTCTTTAGGAGAATGAGACCCATCATTGTTACTGGTATTTGGCATATTTGGTACGCCACGGGGAGTTTGCCAGACTCTGCCCTGTGGGCAGGCTACATTCGATAGCCTGCAAGTTTGTCCAAAGTAGGATGTATATTAATATTGTAACATAAAATTATAAACTCAGGTTAAAAAATTATGAAGAGTGCTATAAAGTGCAGAATGAAAAGAAAGAGGAGAAAGGGAGTGAAGTAGCGAGGGGAAGTTGTACAGGGAATAAAACTGTGACATAAAATAATTTCAGAAGCCCCTAAATGTTAAGTATACAAATGCCTTTAGTCTCTTAATAATTTTGTTACAACCACCCAAACCAAAAGAAATACTAACAATTCCATTTATTAAGTAGTCACATCCCAAAACTTAGTAAGTATATCTGTCTACTAATTATATTTTGAAAAGCAGAGCACATAAATTAGAAAAGTAAATAATGTACATTACTTCTTAAATAACCAAAACCATGCCTCAGTAGAATAACTACATCTGTCAAAGACCCCCTATCTTTTCATACCTTGGAATCATATTGGAAACTAAAACTCTAATTTCTGTTTCTCATTGGCTTTCAAGTGATCCCACCACCAAAATATGCAGCTTCCGAAATATGACCATCAAAACACATGCAATCTAAGGTTGTAACTGAGTACATCCCAGAGGTAGTAGTTTTTGCAGTATCTAACTGGTGTCAAGTACTGCTTTGTTTTTCTCATATATTTAAAGTAGCCCATGGCATCCTTATGGATTAACAACTATGCCTGAGCACAGTCCGTGGAGGAAGAAAAAGGCTTAAATTTTAGCACTCATGGAATCAAACTCTAGCGTGTTACCAACAGTGTGACCTTACTAAATCACTGAGACTTTCCTGAGATTTAGTTTCTTTACCTTTAAAAACACAGGTAAGTAACACGTTCAGAGTTTTTGTGGAATGAGACCAGACAAAAGCAAGTATGTTTCTATAACTTCTTGGCATAGTGGAAACTTACAGTAGTTGTAATAATTTTCTCTTCTACAGGACAATGATGTTCTAATTCTGCCCTAGCCCCCTTAATCCTTCTGTGAGTCACTATCTCATATTGCAGAGTATGTCCCACCGTCTGCTACTCCCCAGACTACCAATCCATAAAGGTTCTACACCTCACCCTTTGTGAGAGACAGCCCAATTTTTCTTTAAGGAGAAAGTGTATCTTTCTTCCTGCAATGGATCATAGTCAATTACCCTTGGAAATGCCCTTAAGTGCTTTTATTAATACTAGTCATGGGTTCTCCAAAGCTCAGACACAAGCTTCTCTCTTTTTCTCCTTTTTGAATTTTCGCTGAAGTTCACTTTTACTGCAGAGGTGGCAAGCAAGGCTTATTTTGAACAGTGGACAGGCAATGGGATTACAAAGAAATTTTATTCTTCCTTTCCTTCTCTTATCACCTTACAGGAAGGAAATATGGTTCAATACCCTCATCACATTTGACACCCTACCAATCATTTCCCCTGTCTTGACTCTGAAGTTGTACTGAAAGTTTGACTTTTCCAGCACAAAGTTGTATCTCCAGGCTCTGTAAAAGTCAATGGTTGATTTCCTTCTGGACAGTTAAAATAGTGAAGATTTTTGGTTCTAAGAAACCCACTTCGGCAACAATCTTTTCTTAGGTTAAACAGCACTCAGATTACCACACAGAAGACCTTTAGTTAGGGCAGATACAATCTCAAGCATTGACTCTACTCCTTTCTAAATGTGTGCCTTGAAATTATAACTTTACATGTGTAAATTTCCATTTTCTTATCTGTCAAACAAAATGATGATGATAATAACTTTAACTAAATAAATAAACAAAAACATCTGAGAAAACAACACAAAAATTTTAATGAAATTTTGTCTTCAAAATTATCTGAAAAAATAAAAATTATCTTAAAAAATGATGAATAAAAACAAAACATAAGGCTTATTACTTAAATAATTAACTTGGATGATACAAAGTAGCAAAGATGCCCAGGAGTGTACTTAGAAATGATTCTCCATAACTGACGGGCAACATCATGTTCACTATCATCATCATTTTGTTCACAAAGATAGGAGAGTGTAAGTGGATCAATGAATAGTCATCATTCTTGCTCAATAGCATTATCCTTCTAAGTTGAGAACCATAATACTCCAGAAAAGAGGCACAAATTTACAACCAACTAATATTATGCTTCCTTCCTAGTCACTATAGCTCCTTTTGGTTCAAAATAGACATTCTTGAGCAAAGTCAGAGACTTGAAGCTAAATCAAAGCATAGCTATTACGTAGAATAGCTTCAGTAAAAAATTCAGCTATAGGTCCAGAAAGATAGTATAGTGGGTATTGTGTTTGTTGTACATGCACCCAACCTAGGATAGATCACGGCACCATGTATGGCCCATGAGCACCAATAAGAATAATCCCTAAGTGCAGAGCCAGGGGTAAGCCCTGAGCACAGCCACAGCGACCTTAGAACACTAAATAAGAGCAATTTTTGACACAAATTTGGAAGTCCATTTTATACATACAAGGTAACTTGGGTATCAATCTATAAGGCATAAAGAAAAATAGAGTGAGAACCTTTACAATATTTACATGTCCCTTCTGATACTATTTAATTTGCTTAGGGGGTTGGGAATCTAAAAAAATCAACATATTTCTATATTAAGTGTCAAGGAAAATGAATATTGTTTCCTTTAAAGAGAATGTTCACTTAATATTTTATTATAGTTGAGAATATTCTTTGCCATTGTAGTTGAGGTGTTGATGTGTATGGTTTTTATGTGCAAAATTTCTGCACCACCACCAGACCAAAGTGCCCAAGACACCCCCCTCACTCCCCACCACTGTCCTTCTATCATCTCAAGTCTGCCTCTAACTTCCTTCTTCAAACCTTCTCCCCTAACCACTTCGTAAGGCCAGTTGTATAGTCAAAGCTCAAAAATATTCCTAAAGGAATATTTCCTTAAGAGCCAGGCATATACCTCAGTGGTAGAGCACTTGACTTGCATGTTAGAAGCCCAGTGTACAATCATAAGCACTGAAAAAAAAGAAATTCTCATTCTTATTTTATGACATGAGCAATATTTAGATTTATAGAATGTTAGAGCTATAGAGAAAGTATCTCTGATTCCTTTTACCTTGATTTTGTCGATGAATTAAATAAGGTTCAGTGAGGTAGGCTTGATTGTCCAAGGAAATCCAATTAATAAATGTTAAAGCAAGAATAAAAAAGAAATATGCCTACTGATAATCGAAGTGTTTTTAAACAGGTCTTAACGTATTTGATGACTTTTGTGGCACCATTTCTCAAATTCTCATCTGCTTCTACTTGTAAATTCCTTCACAGATATATAATGGTTTTTGTTCTCTATTTTATCACCCAAAAGTTTAATCACGAGGTTCTTATGCTAAATCTTTGAAAACATTTTCAAGATGATGAAAATACAGATTTCTTCTTCATCTCCAGAATGTCCATCAGTCCCACTCTCTTTTATGACTTTTTCAAATATGATTTTTGCACTTTTTGTCTCTACTGTGTTCACAGCTGAGCTCTCCAGAAGGCAGCAGCATAGAAGAGATGATCATGGAACTGGAATCCAAGAGAATCCTGCCTTAATGCTGGATCTTTGTCTAATTAGCTGTGTGGGCCTCAGCCTCAGAATCCACCTCTAAAAAATAATTAAAGGGTTGGACTAGATTGTGGTTTAGTTTTCTCACATTGAAACAATCTTTAAAAAAGCTTATCAAGTGTATCAAGTGTCAATGCTTTTAACAGGACGATATTCCCATATAAACCCACTTCTAAAACATAGAACTTAAGTGAAGAGTTATGGAAATGTGCTTTTTTCACAGTATCCCTAAACTTCAGCCTGTTGTCAGTGCAAACAGGGTCAAAACTTTATATATAATTTCTATGTGACCATTACCATCCAATAAGATAGAACCATTTCATTGCAATTTTTCCCTCACGTGTATTTTTTGCTGATTTAATAAAATATTTCTAAATTTGTTACATTAATATTCTGAACAGACAAGTACTAATGAATGAGAAAGCTGAAGATTTTTCTTTAGGATCACACCAATCTAATATTTAAGGGGAAAAAATACATAAAGATAGTCATATATACTTTCATGTCACCACATACTCATGGGCACAGATAACACTTTTTTACTATTTACAAGAAAGTGGGAATTAGCAGCTTTGCATTCCCTAATGCTCTCTACAACTTGATTGTGATGATAATTTGTAAATGTATTATTTTCATGTGTTAATTTTATTATAAATTTATATTCTTGTGTCAAAGCCGTAAATTATATTCAATAAATGAATTTGGATGAATATTCAGCACACTAAATTGATGGATGATGAGAAAACTAGAGCTTTAGGAAGAAGGTGTGTTAGCTATAACAAAGTTTTAAAATCACTTGGGAAATAACAGGAATTAACAGCAAAGTCATCAGTAAAATAACTTGAATTATATGTTAATGTGGCCAGAGATTTTTATAAAGAAACCTAGTCGGTCAGTAATATACTTACCTTTGAAAACTCTAAAGAAAGTTAATCCCTTAGAACTCATATATGTACATATATGTGTTTGTGAGTATCAATAATATGATATGATTTATAAGTCAGTCCTAGGCTAGGGTTAGTAATAGCACCTCTCTTCCCAACTAAATATTAAGCTTCCAGATCTCACAGGTAACGTTTTTTCTTTCTTTGTAACCTTCACAGTTCTTTGCACAGTGCCAGGCAGGTAAACACACTCTACAATTGCCTGATGAATAAGTGGATTCACTTATAGAAAAATAAAACATTTGCATCATCACCTCTGAGGTGCATCTGATTTAGCTTCACCTAGTTCTCCACAATGCATTGAATTTTAGAACTCCATCTTGAAATCAAAACCAAATAAAGATATTGCCACCGTGGTTAACCATTGTTTAAATGTTTACTTTCCTTGTCCTGTATTATTATATCTCTCAGGATTCTTTTGTTCATCCAGCTAATGAAATGAGGATTGGGGAACTTCACCCTTCATTAGCTGAGACCCCTCTGTACCCACCCAAACTTGTTCTGCTAGGGAAGGACAAAAAAGGTAACATCGTGAACCTGACGTGGACAATATGCCACAAATGCATGTGCATGACAAACCACCAGTTGTAAATCATGATGCCCCATAGTCTCTAGGAGTATTTTACCAATATTACATATTTCTAACATTGACCCCTATGCTGTTTCTCATACCTGCTTTTCTGTTTATAAATGCCACTGTTCATTGCATTATAATAATTTCCCCTTTACGTTTCAGAATCAACTGATGAGTCTGAAGTTGACAAAACTCACTGTCTGAATAACAGTGTTTCCTCAGGCACTTACTCAGACTACTCGCCCTCCCAGGCTTCCTCAGGATCCTCTAACACCCGGGTTAAAGTGGGGTCCTTGCAGACAACAACTAAAGATGCAGTCCATAATTCTTTGTGGGGTAACAGGTGTGTTTGGAATTCCCTCTTTTCCATTCCCAAAAAGTGCTCATTGGGGGCACATTTTGAAAAATGAAATTTTATTTATTTTAGAATAGTAATCAACTCGTGAGTGGCATAGAAGACAGAAGGAACAGGTGAGCAAATGTAGCCTGGGGTTTCTAAGAGTGGATGAATGTGTTTTACAGAGTCAAACCATTGTTGGAGGAAGTTATGGTCAGAGAATTATAGGTGGGGCTGTTTTAGGTGAATATATCAGGACAACATGTTTTAAAGATTGAAAACCAAAAGTTGCATTTGTCCAAATTAAAGAAAAAGTTGTGTTTGTCCAATCCCTGTTTGTTATGCATGTAGGTATTTTATTTCCCAAATGGTGTTATAGATTAAATTAAAATACATATAAAGCCTTTCTGTGCCCAGTACAAGCTAATTATGCAATAAAATTTGTAGTGCTATCAGCAACATCATTTTGTCACCACATGGAAAATTAATGATGAAGCACAATTATTTAGTTTTTCCAAAATGTACTCTACTCTATATTATTTCCATTTACCAATGGAAAAATATAGAATATAATAAAATGATTTGAGTGAGCAGGCAATACATGTTCATTTCTGGTTCCTTTGTTTTATAACTTGTTGCTCTATAACCACAAACTGCAATAAAATTTTCATATGATATATGAGTTTATTCATTTATACTATTTTTCATTATTATTATTTTTGTTCTTATTAGGGATAATTAGTTCAACCTTTCTATTCATTCATGGCCAGAATAAAAACCTTAACTCTTTTTATTTATGAATTCATTATCTCTGACATAAGCTTAGATTTTTTTGTGTGCCTTTTAAAGATACCTTCTACAAGGACTTTTTACAATTTGCAAAAGCATTTGAAAGTCTCACTAATAAAAGACATGTGATTTAATCTTATTAACGTGCAAACAGTTTAGAGTAAACCGAAAAATGACCACTTTCTAGAAATACGGTGGCTCTTTGTCTAAACATGCCAATGATGGAAAGTTTTAATGTAATATAGTAAAATGTATGTGTACAAAAGACTATACATGAATTCATTTTTTCTAATGATGAATTTAATATTTATAGTACCTGACCTTCAAATAGAGGTCGCTTGAAGCAAAATGGGTCCACTGCATGCACTCAGCATGTATAAGAAAGACACTCAACCAATGATTTGGCAAATTTATTTAGAAAAGAAGAATTTTCAGGGATAGAAGCCAGGAATTGAGAAATAGAGTTACCAGAACAGATTTCAGGAAAAGTACTAAAGACCTCTATTTTCTTGTCTTCACCCATTCATTCCTCAAGATTATATTAAATATTTATTGAGAGTCAGGCCTAATGAGAAAAAAAAAAACAAGAACAAACTCTGCCCTGGTGCGGTGATGTAATAGAGAGGTTACTAGACGATACACAAAAACTGTCATGGGTAAGTAAATTCGATGAAGTGTTAGAAGCTGATGTGTAATAGGAAGAAAGAAAAGTTAGAGCAAGGGAGTGGGTGGAATTTTTTTGGTCATGATGCATAAAGCTGCTTTTGTAATCATAAGTGAAGTGCTGGTGACCAGGTCAACACAGGACAATGGTCCGGCCTGCTCTGTTCTTGACGGCAAAGACCCTCGCTCTTCCATGTCTTCACATTTCTTGTTCCCTTTGTGTTTGCAGGATTGCACCACCTTTCCCACAGCCTCTTGATTCAAAGCCATTACTCAGTCAACGGGAGGCTGTTCCCCCAGGGAACCTACCACAGCGTCCTGAGCGGCTGCCCATGACTGAGGCCTTCACTGATAACTGGACTGATGGCTCCCATTATGATAACACTGGGTTCGTCTCTGAGGAAGCTGCCGGCGGTGATGCCAACAGTAACCCTCTCCTGAGCTCCAAATCCAGAAGCACATCTTCTTCTCATGGACGCAGACCTCTGATCAGGCAAGAGAGGATTGTCGGCGTCCCACTGGAACTGGAGCAGTCGACACACAGACACACCCCAGAAACAGAAGTGCCTCCTTCCAATCCTTGGCAGAACTGGACCAGGACCCCTAGTCCTTTCGAAGACAGGACCGCTTTCCCTTCCAAATTAGAGATTACTCCCACCACCAGCCCGTTGCCTGAAAGAAAAGAGCATCTGAAAGAGTCTACCGAGATACCCAGTCCTTTCTCCCCAGGAGTCCCCTGGGAGTATCACGATTCCAACCCCAACAGGACTCTTGGTAATGTCTTTTCCCAAATGCACTGCCGCCCGGAATCCTCCAAAGGGGTCATTTCCATTAGCAAAAGCACAGAGAGGCTCTCCCCGCTCATGAAGGATATCAAGTCCAGTAAGTTTAAAAAGTCCCAGAGCATCGATGAGATCGACATCGGGACCTACAAGGTCTATAATATCCCACTGGAGAACTACGTGGCTGGGAGTGACCACTTAGGCAGCCACGAGCGTGCCGAGAAGATGCTGGGGCCGGAGCACCACGGGATGTCCAGCATGTCTCGAAGCCAGTCGGTCCCCATGCTGGACGACGAGCTCCTCACTTATGGGACCAGCAAAGGGCCACCGCCCCCCAAGTCCATGACCAAAAAAGTCTACCAGTTTGACCAAAGCTTCAACCCCCAAGGAGCCGTGGAAGTGAAAGCCGACAAGAGGATCCCTCCCACCTTCCAACACAACTCTGAGTATGGGCCACAGGCCGGCAAGAACCTGGCCAAGGACCTGGTCAGCCCCAGGGCCTACCGGGGCTACCCGCCCGTGGAGCAGGTGTTCTCCTTCTCACAGCCTTCTGTCAACGAAGAGGCACTGGTCAACGCCCAGCTGGCCGGCCAGGGGCCAAGGGGAGGCTTCCTGAGAAGGGCCGACTCGCTGGCCAGCTCCACGGAGATGGCCATGTACCGCAGGGTCAGCGAGGCCCACGAGCTGCCTCCGACCGACCGCTACGGCCGCCCAGCCTACCGGGCCGGCCTGGATCGTCAGAGCAGCGTTTCAGTGACTGAGTCCCAGTTCCTCAAGAGGAATGGCAGGTATGAAGACGAACACCCTTCATATCAAGAAGTGAAAGCTCAGGCGGGAAGTTTTCCAGTTAAAAACCTAACCCAGAGGAGGCCTCTGTCGGCCCGAAGCTACAGCACAGAGAGTTACGGGGCCTCCCAGACCAGGCCAGTTTCAGCTAGGCCGACTATGGCAGCTCTTTTGGAAAAAATACCATCTGACTATAACCTGGGTAACTATGGGGACAAGCCATCAGATAACAGTGATATAAAGACAAGGCCCACTCCTGTGAAGGGGGAGGAGAGCTGTGGGAAAATGCCTGCAGACTGGAGACAACAGCTGCTTAGACATATAGAAGCTAGAAGGTTAGACAGGGTATGTGTGGCCTTTCTCTGTAAGAATCTCTCCGCCTGCCTTGAGTGTTCCGTTCTCTCGCCATTCCTCAGCACATGTAGTGACGCATGAACTACATGAATGGGTCGAGGGTCAGCATCGGATTGACCTGGATGTCCTGGGGAAAGGAATCATAACCGTTTTATTTGGGAGGGGGGGTTTTTGGTTTTGGTTTTGGTTTTTTTTTTTTAATGGGTATTGTTTCATGCTCTTCCAGATTCCGTGTCTGTAGGTGGCATTATTACTCAAGCCTAACTGAACTCTTGTGAGAATGAATTTGTCTCTATTATCCAGGATGGTGTTTCAATTGCTTCCTTCCCATTAAGGCAAAATACCTCTCGTAAGACACAAAACTGCTCTCCAGTGACCAAGAAGTATGCTTTTTATTGAATCTATAAAAAGTGCACATTTTTCCCCTTTCTGCATGGGCTCACTTACATTAAAGTCTAGCCGAATTTGTTTATAAAATTTGCATAGAGTAACTGCTGTGGGACTACTAAAGTTATTACTTCTAATGAGTAATAATCTTCCCAGCAAGAAACAAACAAAAAAAAAAAATGAGCAGAGGTTGAACATTCTCCTCCCTATTATTTTACTTAATAAAATAAATCCTGCCATTTAGAATGTTGGTTTTGTATAAAGGGGAATCTCTGAATTCAAATCATGTAGACAAGAAAAACAGATGATGTCTTTATGAAGACTACAAATGTATACAAATTAGTGTACATAGAATAGCAAAAAATAAATAAATTAATCCAAATTTGGCTAAAAAGTGAGTCATAGTAAATCATGAATGTATAGAGGTTGAGGACAGACAAGAGAAAACAAAAAGTCAATTATAAAAAAAAATTACTTTTCACTGCCTGTCAGTACTACACTGCACTGCACTGTCCTCCCGTTGTTCATCGATTTGCTCGAGCGGGCACCAGTAACGTCAAACAACAAATTGTGAGACTTGTTACTGTTTTGGACATATAGAATATGTCATATGTAGCTTGTCAGGCTCTCCAAGAGGAGCAGAGGAATCATACCCGGGTAAGCTGTGTGCAAGGCAAATGCCTTACCCGCTGTGCTATGGCTCCAGCCCACTGCCTGTCAGTATCTCTCTAAAAGACATCTGTATTTTTTTTCTTTTTGGGTCACACCCAGCAAATGTACAGGGGTTACTCCTGGCTCATGCACTCAGGAATTACTCCTGGCAGTGCTCGGGGGGAACCATATGGGATGCTGGGAATCAAACTTGGGTTGGCCACATGCAAGGCAAATGCCCTACCCACTGTGCCATTGTTCCAGCCCCTCTATTTTATTTTAAAGAAGTATGACTATTTGGGGGAAAAGGGAGTGAAGAGACAGTGTAGCAGGTAGGACCAAGGCCTTGCACGTTTGCACACGGCCAACCCAGGTTCTATCTCTAGCACTCCACATGGGATCCAGAGCACTGCCAGGAATAATTCCTGAGTAGAGTCAGGAGTAATCTGAGCACCATTGGGTGTGGCCCAAAACAAAAAAAGAAAAAAAATTATGATTACTTGACTATCACTAAGTATCCTCTGTAGCTTTGGTATACTGCATTGTACTGCATTGTCCGTAAAATCTTAACAGTCCTTTTTTGCGAAAATGGGGTCTCTGTTCTCATTTTTCAGGTAAAAAGATAATGTAAATTGGGAACCTGGGTAATAATGCACCATTAGAATGTTTCATGCAATATTTTCTTATATAAGTTGGGGTCCTGCTGAAAGCACAAATCACTCTGTTTCTTACATATTTCCCTAATGCTGAATTTTGTGTTTTCAGGTACATTTTTTAAAGCAGTGGCATTTTTATAGGTCATGTCTACATGACAAGGAAACAATTATTTTTAAGGAAAGAGTCAGCCCATCAACATGGGTGTAGGTAATCATTTCTCAATGTGGAATTAGGTTGTGCAGTATCAGAATGTCTGCTTCAAAGAGACATGCTCAGCCCCGCTGAAGGGAATCTTATCAAAGTCTCATGACTTGGGCTAGAGAGATAATACAGCAAGTAGGGCACTTCCTTGCATGCAGCCAAGTCTGGTTCAATCCCCAGTATTCTATATGGGGTCCGAAGTTCCACCAGGAGCTCAGAGCCCTGAGCACCACTGGGTGTGGCCCAAATACAAACCAGAAAAGCTTCATGACTAGCTGTCACCTGGTTAATAGTCACCCAGGCTTTACCTCCCCAAATCCTCCATGTAAACAACTTGAAAGACATTAATATTGGGGACCAAATAATGCAATACTTATTGAGATGTCTGGCCTTGTGTAGACATGACCATGTGTAACAGAGTAAGATTAACTAGTCAAGAAAGGTTATAAGAAGCTTTCGAGAGCTTCTATGGTGCAATTGGTGATTTGGGACTCTGCTGAGAAGTGACTAAGAACAAAGCATGATGATGATGAAAAGGCAAAATTCTAAGCATTTGCTACTGTTGTTTCTTTCCAGTTTCCCTGATAAGTGGTATTTCTTCTTTGATCTTTCGGAGCAACTGAAAAATAAGGGACTCCTTTAGTTGGAGCAAGAATTTTGAAGGAGAAAATTAAGACTGGGGATTTGAATCAGCAGACATAGGGAGGCCATTCCGTCTGTTCCAAGTCCAGATAACACAAAGAAATCATATGTATTTTCCATTGCTGTGAAAACACCTCCTGTTTTTTATCTCCACACAACCCCTTTGTTCAGAATTCCTTTGGTCTACCTTCAATTTATCAGAGCAATACCAATGATCTGACAATGTCAGAACAATATCCCATAGTTTTTCATTTAATTTGAAGAAAAAAATAGCTTCAAACCATAGAATCTTGGAAGCTTTTTCGCTCCTACTCCCCAAATATCATTTCTTTCCCTATCCAACTTAAGTTCCTGAAGTATTATTATTCAGCCTTTATCTTACTGAAAACTTTCCAGCTACTCAAGAAGATGTATTGAAGTTACTGATCCCAGCTTTGTCCTATAAAACTGGTTTTCACTTAGCTGTGTTCCTTAAATTTCTGTCCCAAGGAAGCCTGTGCCAGAACCTTATATGCTTCCTTCCCGGTCAGTCCATCCCTTCAAACCCTGTAAATCAAAGAGTCACACTGAATACTGTAAAATCTTGGTCTAGTTCCCATTGATGACAACTGACTGCCTAGGGACCTGGATGTGGCATCAACTTAACAAGCCAACAAAACATGGTAAAAGTTAGTTCTCACAATTGACTTGGAAGAGGCAGCTCCAAGAATGTTTGTTTCTCCTCCAGAGTCACCATCAGGCTCTCTTCACCACTGGGCCTCCTTGAGAGGAAGAGAATTTAAAACATGAAACCATTTTTTTTGGACCACATCCCCTCCGTTGGGTCTGACACAGTGCTAGTTTTATGGGATACTAAAGTTTAAAGCATCCCTCAAGTGATAATACTGAAATGTTCACAGTCCTCCTCAGCTGGGGCACAGTGACAATGTGTAGATGAAGCCAAATTCTCTAGATTAAATCCATTAGAGATCCATAATAAGTACATTGGATAGACAGGTACACCATCAGAAGTCCTTCTGTTGAGTTCAGTGAAACTTTGATCCTAAGAAAATCATTGCTTTGGAGTCAGAGAAATAGTAGAGCAGACAGGGCATTTGCCTTGCATGCTGCTGACCCGGGTTGGATTTCTGGCATCCCATGTGGTCCCTTAAGCACCACCTAAGCACAGAGGCAGGAGTAACTCCTGAGCACCATTGGATATAGCCCTGAAACAAAACAAAACAAAAAGATAAACAAAATTAAATCAAATTAAAACTACCACTTTGCAAGTAATGCCCTTAGTTGTCAGTGTTCAATAATATTTATGGTTTTGTTTGAGTTTTTATCAATGTAATAAGTGAATGTCTCTAGATTTATTTTTCCAATATGAGAATTATTTTAAAGGATAGTTGAAATAACCTCAGTTGCACTTATTGAAAGACAGCTAAATATCCCCAGAATGTTCTGTAGAAATCCAGGTATATAGATCAATAACACTAATAGCTTAAAACATAGTCTTTTTAGCTTTATGATGACATTTCTCCAGTTTCAAATGCAATTCTAAAATATTGGGACCATATACAACTGAGTTTATTGATTTTCACTAAATTAATAAGTTCTATCAACAAGTGGTCAGATTGAATCACTTCCTCCAATCCTCTCTTCTTAAGTTACTACAATAATGCCCGCAGAGTAAAAACTAGAGACTTTTTGGACTTTAATATTGTAGTCCCTTAGTTTTAAGATAGAATTCAAAACGAATATTTGTCCTTTGTATGTGACTATTTCACATTGTGAAAGAGACCAGGACATTTGCAGCCGACCAAATTCATCTTACATAAGAGCTCACTGTTTGAATTTTTAAAAGCACTAGACTGCCATAGAGGAATGTCATTTGTCCAAAGTTACTCTACTGAGAATATTCAAGAGCCAAATTTCACGCCTTGGAGTTAGCAGCAAATGTGAACCAATATGTATCTTCTTTGCTTTTTGTCTTTTCTGTAGTTCTGGATGGTTCTCATGATGTGCATAACTAACCCTGTTGACTGTATGCTTCTGTCTGATCAAGTGCATGTTGGAAAAGGAGAGTTACTGTGTGCCCGCTGAAAGTTAAATGTTATTGATTTAAACCTGTTCATGTAAGAGTTTGTTGAGCATGTGTTCATACCCTGTCACATGATTATTTCCTCTACTCAGAATGCTGCTTACAAACACAACACAGTTAACCTTGGCATGCTGCCCTATGGAGGTATTTCAGCAATGCATGCAGGCAGAAGCATGACATTAAACTTGCAGACTAAGTCTAAATTTGATCTACAAGAACTACCTCTTCAGAAAGTAAGTATGGACTGCCCTACATGTGTCAGCATACCAAAGCCAATGAACGTTCTTTGTTTCCTTACTGTACCTGAGCCCTTCTTAGAGACTCACAAGTTTGCCCTGGGCAGACAATGTGGACCCCAGATGCGCATCTGCTAATTAAATCTTTAGAGCTAGACTGATGTATCAGGTTTTTGCTTATCAGCTTTGCTTTTTGGATTGAGCAGGTACATAGCTTTTGTGTTGTTTGGGGAATGATTTCTCTTATTATTCATTTTCATTTTCTTTTTCTCTTTGCTTTACTTGCTTTTTTTTAAAATTTTCTTGAATCGCTGTGAGATAGTTACAGGCGTTCATGTTTGGGTTACAATCACACAATGATCAAACACCCATCCCTTGATCAATGCACATCCTCCATCACCAATATCCCCAGTATATCCCCCCTTTCCCACCCTCCCCCTGCCTCCATGGCAGACATGATTCCCCATAATCTCTCTCTACTTTTGAGCATTATGGTTTGCAATACAGACCTTTAGAGGTTATCATTGTTTGGTCTTTATCCACTTTCTGCACATATCTCCCATCCCGACCAATTCCTCCAGCCATCTTTTTCTTAGCAATCCCTTCTCTATTCCAGCTGCCTTCTTCTCTTTGCTCATGAGACAGGCTTCCTCTGCTTTACTTTCTTTTATGCAGATATTTATAGCTTCTTTATGGTTTTTAACTTTCTTTTACTGTTTGGGAAGCTAACCTATCTTCTCTTTCTGGCACATTTTTTGAGGATAGTTAGGAAATAGAAAAATAGTTAGAAAATCCAATAAAACCTAATATTATTGGATTTTAATGGATTCCTTAGGAAAAGATGTGGAGTCCAATTGGAATGAAAATTAAGTGTTTGGCCAAATGCTTCTGCAGCCTACTTTTCTTCATGGAAAACCTTATACACAGAAGTGAAGCATGAGAAACTTTGTGGTTAGCTCACAAATTGTTTCTCATAGGAGGGTAATGGCACCGTTGCACCGTCACATGGTTCTAACTAATGCAGGCTCCTCTAAAAAGAAATGCACTATTAAGAAGCATTTCATTGACAAAGGAATGTTTCTGCTTGCTTTATTGAGGCAAAACTGGCCATGCCCTCATTACCTGGTTAAATTGATTAATGTCTTCTTAGTTACATTTCAGTGGAGACTAATGAGTCATTTTCACACAATATGTCATTATGACTCTATTATTAATATAGCTATTAGCCTAGTAAGTTTTTATTGAAAAGGAATGCAAGTAGGGATAGCTGAATGTCAGTAGCTTCCAAATGCTTCTCTCTTACTGAAATTAATGAGCTTATGGGGCAAAGTACCATCCCAATAAAATGAAGATCATATGACCTCAAATTTATGTTTTATTGTCAAATTAGTCTTAATAACAATCCTTAACTCTGCTTAGTTTGCTTCCTATTCTGAGTAGAATAATAAAATCAAAGGTAAAGGTAAAGGTAAAGGCCCTCCCGTTGATCGTCGATTTGCTCCAGTGGGCCCAGTAACGTCTCCATTGGAGACTTTGTTGTTACTGTGTCTGGCATATCCAATACTCTCGGTAGCTTGCCGGGCTCTCCGAGAGGGGCGGAGGAATCAAAAAGACTTTTATACCTGCAGCTATTTCATCACTCCCAATAGGTATGGAAAATAAAATGTTTATTGTAGTTAGAACTTTCTGTTTTTGTTTTCCTATCCTCAGTAAACCAGTAGTACATGGGTCTCTCTCTCCCAGGGAGAAAAGCAAGACCCTGATTTGTGTGTTTGTCAATGTGATTGGAGATATTCCATTGATGGCTAGTTAGTGTCAAGGGACTAAACTAATATCAGCACACTCAGAATTGGGCAGGACTTGGGAGATTTCAAAATGGCCTTAAAATACATTTGCATTGAGGAATATCTGAAATCTCACAGATTATATAGATATTGGTGGGAAAGGCATGGCGATTAAATAGGAGTTAAGCAACAGTGATAGAATTTCAAATTCATTGAGAGTAGAGAGATCTTGGTGCAAAGGAAATTATTGCTTGCATCTTTAAAATTATGTTGTATATGAAAGCTCCTCAGTTTACCTAACTTTCAGCCCTTTTTTAATCACCAATCGAGAGAGTAAGACAGGTGTCATTGTCAGACTTGTCAATATACTTGAAACTATGTTTCTCAAATTTAGTCACCCGGAATAGATTAAATACTCTGTATTGCTATATTTAATTTTGATATAATTTTGGATATCCCAGCCGAAGGATTCATTAATTACTTTAATAGCTCCAAGACGTATTGCAGTTGTAAACACTGGGAGACTTTCACCTTCCATTAAAAGAATTCTCCTTGAAAGCTACATTTAACTGGCAAACCAAAAATAAGTCAAATATGGAAAGATTCCATCTCAAACAAATCATCTACAAAGACTTTATTGTCCACACCAAAAAGTAAATAAAAATAAAAAGGAAGAGTAAGCAAAGGGTAAAAAAAGAACACAGTTTGGGTGATATTCCATTATCCCCCCAAAGATTTTATCACCCAGAATCCATTTAATATCTGTAAATTCAGTGTATGCAATTTGCCTGCTACCACCGGAAGTGTCTCAGGTAGGGTAACACTGGATGCTTGGTCAGTTTCAGGAATCCTCCAGCTTCCGACCAGAGCAATAATACAGGGGATAGGGTTGCCTTGCACATGGTCAGCCCCGGTTCAATCCCCAGCATTCCATATGGTCCCCTGAGCAACACCAGGATTAATTCCAAAGTCAGAGGCAGGAATAACTCCTGAGCGTCACTCCCTGGCTGTGGCCCCAAAACAAAACAAAAATTTTCTAGCCCCTTCTCCTAGGACTCCCGTCCAGATCTCTCTCTTCTGCCCATATTCCCAGGTACATGACTTCCGCAGAAGCTTTTCTCTTAGAACCTGTGTATTTTTTCTTGCACAGCTTTTGGGCCAGCCTGTAATATGATGCAAACTGTTTCTTTTCCTTCTCAGCTGCATTCATAGTAAAGTAAGTAAAGGCCCTCCCGTTGATCATCGATTTGCTCGAGCAGGCCCAGTAACGTCTCCATTGGAGACTTTGTTGTTACTGTGTCTGGCATATCAAATACTTCACGGGGGGGGGGGGGGGCGGGGGGGGGGGAAGGCTTGCCGTGCGGGCGAGATACTCTCGGTAGCTTGCCGGGCTCTCCGAGAGGGGCGGAGGAATCGAACTTGGGTCGGCCATGTTGGCTGCGTGCAAGGCAAATGCCCTACCACTATGCTATCGCTCCAGCCCAGCTGCATTCATATCCCATGTTTAAAGTTTGGTTGCCCCAAACCCTCCTTACAGATTGGCAAGTATTCCCTTTGATATACAAAGGCATCAAAACCTATTAGAATATTTCACTGCTTCTTTTTTTTAAGGTTGGAAAGAAATTTTTAATTTTCAGGTTTATCATCACTATTGAAAAGACAGACATAGGTTTTATTCGGAACTGAAACCGATTTATTTTTTTAATTGTCCTTGGTCCTTTTCTCTTTTAGATTTTCTTGTTTATTTTATTTCCTTTGTAACCATAAAATAGCACTGTTGCTTCTCAAAGAGAATCAAAATTAAATGCCACAGTGATAGAACAGTGAGTAATACGTTTACCTTGCCAAGAGCTGTCCTGGTTCAATTCCTGGCACCCCATATGGCATCCCTAGCCCCCACCAGGAATGATCCCTAAACACAAGCCAGGAGTAAGCCCTGAGCACTGCTGGGTGTGGCCCAAAACAAAACAAAACAAAAAACTAGTATCACACAGTTCACATTGATTTGTAATCCCTAAATGCAAATTAACCACGAGAATTGCATAGAATGCCAAGAAAGATCAAATTTATTAGCATGATTCAGTTGTTCCCTGAGAAACTGTAGAGCTGTCCAGTTTTTTGTTTGTTAAGATTCCAAAGAAGAAAGGCCGTGCCCTTATGTGATCGCCTTATGTGAGTTGGTACCTCTCCCTCAATCTCCTCACGTGAGGCCATACCTCTCCCTCTCTATTCTGTTCACTGAAGGAAACATTATCTGTGCTGAGGGCTAAGTCAGCCAACTGCCTTTGGCTTGGGATTTTATTAGATGACCAAAATATAAGTTATTCTTTTTTGCTCAATTTTATTTCTCAAAGACTTATAACCAACTTAGTAAAAGACTGTGAATGAAGATTGAACTTAAAATATAACAGTGAATAGATATAAAGACTCCCAGTACTGCTATGTGTTCTGAACATGTCTAATCTCTTTTTTTTTTTCTGCTTTTTGGATCACATTTAGCGATGCTCAGGGGTTACTCCTGGCTCTGCAATCAGGAATTTCTCCTGGTGGTATGTGGGGTCCATATTGGATGCTGGGGATCAAACCCAGGTCGGCCCCATGCAAAGCAAATGCCCTCCTCACTGTACTATTGCTTCAATCCTAATCTTATATTTTCTATATTGCAGGTCAAGCATTAGTTTCATAAATTAAAAAGCCATAAATAGCATAAACTTTCTATACTATAAACAGAACTTACATTTTCTATGGTAATTTTATATATATTTTTACAATATTAATATAATGTAAATAAATATAATAATAAACACATTTAATTACTTTAAATTCGCTTTATTTTTACTTATTGTTTATAAATTTCCTTAAAAATTATAGTACTATAACAGGAAATTTTAAGACATATTAAGACATATATAAGCTACCATATGTCTATTTATTTTTTCTATTTATTCATTTATTCATATCATTCCTTGATTTCTCCATTTGTCATTTGTTCACTGCCTCTCCAAAAAGCATTGAAAGCAAATTTCTAGGACATTATTAATGGTTCCATGTGCTTCTTTTAATGTGTTCTGTTGTAACTGAGCTTAGTTACTGTCTTGAAATTTTATGTTATCAGAGAGAAATACAGTATTGCAAAGTATCAGTTCAAACTACAGCTTTTATTCTCCAAATTAGTGGGAGGGTAAATAGATATTTCTATAGGAGAAGGGTAAAGATTAGGATTAATGATCATATTTGATCAACCTGGTACTTCAAATATTCCTTCATGCACAACCCTCCCAAACTCCCATCTGGGATGATTTTTCCTCCAATGTCTGGAGGAGAAGCTGGGCATCTTGGGTGACCTACAAGAACTCGCCTCTATTTTTACTGCTAAAACTACTGTAATCACTGCTCCGAGCACAGTGGTAGGTAGAATTTGAATCTGACTCCATCTGGTACCCACGTGCCTACTGTTTTCTGCTCTATGATGATGCCTTCTCCAGTGCCTATATAACCTGATATTTCCTAGATTCCTGATTTAGTCTTGATAAAGCTCTTTTGTGTACATGATTATCTCACATTATCTTCACAACCATCCAAATGTCATAGAGTAGATCAAAGAATATGCAAATAGAATAGTGAATCCATAGCACAGCAGCATGGCCCAAAGTGTTCCCCTTGTGCTCCAAATAGAAGTGCTCCCTTAATTAGCTGAGTTTAAATAATGTTAGTAGTTATCTTGTGCTCTTTAAGATCTCCTTGCATTTTCGGGGCAATTGCTATTACTAAGAAATTTGCTTGGTAGTAGAGAAAGACCAAAGGACATCATGGCCTCCCCCAGACCACAAGCTAATTGTTGTTACTAGTGCCACTTCAAGCCAAGCAGGGCTGGGGAAAAAATGGCAGCCTTTTCCAACTCCCAATATCTGGCTGCCCATCCAGTGTTGTCTAGTCTACACGGGAAAAATTGGTCATTGTTTCCTTGTTCTTTTTTCAAGTTTTCGCACCATTATACCATGGACCCTACTGTTCAATAATGCATTCAACAAACGTGAAAATGATGTATTCAACAGACATAAAAATCAATTACCATTTCAGGCAAAGAGAAGCTCACTTTATGGAAATATATATTAAATCACCATTCCATATAATTTTCCCAGGAGATAGCCTCATTGTCAGATTTGTTAGTTGATCATGATCTTGCCCATTTTTTGTTTTTAATAAGAGACTTGAGATAGCAACATTTGCACCAACGCTTTTTTCCCATTTCCAGCTGTATTTTCTTACTGGATCTATGCAGGGGACTTAGGATCAGATAGAAGCCACATTTGGTATGCATTTATTCACCTCATTCTAAAGGTCACCTAGTTGATGACAGTTTCTTTCCTGCCGGAAGCAAAGCAAGATTTATGCAGCTCCTAGGGGCAACTTATGCCTATAGTTTCTATTGATTTTGTTGCTCAGGTTATTGTTCCCCTGGCCCTCAAGAAGAAATTGCTTGCCCCTCTAATTACGGGAGGGAAAAATCAGAAGGCAAGGAAGTCTGCCTGTAAATTTACATAAATCCCCATAGAAAGTGGCCAGAATTACCAAAATAATAGCAGTAGTACTTCCTCGAATGTTTCCTCACCATAAAAGCCAAAGAGTGGCTTTAAAACCATCTGGACCTTGTTTCACCACCTTCAGATTAAAACCTAATGAAAGCGTGGTCATTTAGAATCCAAGCTTGGCATATATTTGCTGGGCATGTATTTGCATTTATTTACCTACATTTTTAAGAGGTCCATACAAAAAAAACACACAATCACACAATCACAACCATACAAAAAAATAATATAGCAATAATTTCACTGGGAATACCTTGGGGAAATTTGTTTTTAAGTCATTTTTTCAAATCCCTGGGTATACCCTTTTGAACTAACCACCAGTGACAAAACAAATAAAGAATCCTTTAAAGGACACAGCCCAACCTTTGTAAAATGCCATCGTATTTGGAAGTGAGGGAGAATGCCAGGCCAGGGATTGAACCCAGGGGCTCACACATACAATTTATGTGCTCTGCAACTGTAACTGTGTGTCACCCCCACCCAAAGACAAAATTTTAATCCCAATCTCAGTTAATTTTCCCAGAAAAAAAAAATACAGTGCATTCATTAGTTAACAGACAAAAACAAGGCATCTGGATCAGCTAAACTTATTTACTCCCGTTTGTGAATCCTAATATATGCATACATGTCCATATACTTGCATAAGGATATATACACAAGTGCATGAACACACACATACATGGACACAGACACACTAGATGTATCTAGGATACACATACTCATGCACATTTATGTCACAGCATGATCAGAAATGAATAGACACTTTTGATCATTCACAGCAATTAAAATTAATGTCATTTACAAATGCACACAGCCATTTTGGAGACTAAGCATGTTCAGTGAGACTTCTGCTATCATTCTGCATTTCTTAACAAATCTAATGGCTGATTATTTGCTAAATCATGCTATTTTCTCTGAAAGTTTCTTTGAAATAATAAATAATGCACATCTGGAAACCTAGGAGATGGTGCACTATAATAGTTCCCCAAGTCTTTTATCTTTAATTGGCTGTTTGGTTAGGAAAATATTCAGTTTACCACATCAAAATATCAAAAGAAAATACCTAGAATATGGTTCTAGAAAATAATTGAATGGGTAGCTAATCCTCAATTTGGTTCTTGTCTCTGGAAAATTATTTTCAGCAGTGATAGCTTCATTACCTTTTTTTTTTTAGATTTTTCCAGTTGCTTCTCATCTTTCATAGGATTTTCATTGCTAAGCAACTGTAGTGGAATATTTCAGAAGCATTTTATCAATAGTACAGAGGTTTTTGGTAAATAGCTCTGCTCCTTTAGAGAAAGAACCGTGAACCTAGTATAAAATCTCTTTTGAACCCCTGCATCCCAATATTAATAAACTATTCAGTTGGTCTTTTTTTTCCTTCAAACTTTAAAGCCACCCCTAGGGTGTCTTGCTTCAGAAAAACAAAAAGGCCAGGATGTTGGGTTTTTTAATTAACAAAGGAAATTGCTTTTTAGAAAATTCCTTTCATTTTTCTGTCTGGTGAAAGTATTTTTTCCATGTGTCTGCATGTGTTTGTTCTCTTTGGCTCTTTTGAAATAGAGGAATTGGGGCCACAGTTAATTCTAATTTTAAAAAGAGTTATTGCTAAACTCGCAGAGCTTACACCATTCGGATTTTGATGCAGAAATTTTAGCCTTTTTCATGCCAAAGAGAATTTTGCAATTCCCAGCTGCTCTCTGTGACTAGGAATAGGGCGGTTGAAGCAAATTTAGTAGAGGAAATAGACATCAAAAGGAGATGAGAAAGAAGAGAAAAGAGACACCCATATCAAATTCTGGTACTTCTCAGAAACCTTTGTTGTGCAGATATCCATCCCCAGGGGGACATCTATATTATCCAACTTTATTGGTAAAGAAACCAAGCCAGAAAAAGGCATGAATTTTAAATGTCAGTAGTGCCTATCCTGCAAAATCGTTTTGCTGCTTAGTTTAAATAATTTAATTTGTCGAATTTTAAGATCTAGAGGGAGAGTGTATAAATATATGCAAGCATATTAGTTCAGAAATGGTACAGAGTTAAAAAATTAATGCTTCACAGTCAATAAGTACCACGAAATTCTCTGGTTACATTTAAATATGAGGTACTTTAAATATGGTATTTGCATTTGAATTTTCAAACCAACACAAGTGAATTTATTCCTATGTTTCAGTTCAGTAGGTTTTTTAATTTTTTTTTTTACACTTTCTGATACGTTCATGAAAAAGTAATTCACATGGCCAAAGAACACCAAAAGAAAACTATACTGTTTGCTTTACTTTTCATTAAGGCCATTAGACCTTAGGAAAACATTATCTAACTATTAATAAAATCCTGTCTTAAAATGTTCTGTGGAATCTGCTTTAAAATGTGTGCAGTCAGAAAGCAGATGAGATGTTTAGACAAGAAGACAAAGGAAGACAAACTGGGACCCTTCATTTAAACCAAATGAATCTTGCTATAAACAGAATAGTCCAGCTCTCCCTTGAAGGTTAAAGGACAACCCTTGAAAGATAGCTACATATAGACGAGACTCTCCTTCACCTGGATACATTTGTCAGCAGAGATCTTCAAAACATGCTTCTAGAATAGAGTAGGGAACACTGAGCATATCTCACCCGCATAAGAAATCCCCAGGAAATCAGTCTATAACTTTATAGACGATAGGTCAGAGAGGCAAGACCTTTGCAAAAAACGTTTCCAGAGAGAAAATATGTCACTACTACATCCCACCGCTAGGGGGACATCTTCCTGACAGAGGCGATTACTAGCTGTTACTCAGGGCAGTCAATGGACATCCTTCATAATATCTAATAATAATCATAAAGATAGTATTTGTAAAACACAATAGAAACAATCAAAAAAGTATGCATATTAATAGTTTAAACTTTAATTCTATTTACCTATATAAGTTTATTTTAAATCAGTCATGATATAATTGTATCATGATTCTAATAATATTTTTCATGTTGCTTTATTCTTTGCTTAAAACTTTTTGGTAAATAATGTCATAGTACTATAAATCTTGCGTTATTCTGGTATTAACACTGCTTTGGATTAGCACAAGGTATAATCTTCCAGAACCAACACAGCCGTATAAAATTTTATTTCATGTGATGATTTGGAATATTGAAATCAATGTACTATGTATGGTATCATTTATATCTATATTCAGAATGGTAAGATCATACTAAAGAAGCAAACAATTTTAGCTATTTTTAGATATTTTAGCTTTTTAGCTATTTTATTCTGATTACTATAAATAAGTACTATAAGTAATCTAAATTTTCTTTGAAATTCAGTAAATAACTCTACGATATATTTAATTGATTTTCTCACTGCTTCTAAAAAGCTGTCAAATTAGAATTATTATAGAGTAAATAGTTAGAATATTTCCAGTTTGTACTATGTGTTTTCTGCTATTAAACAAAATTAACTATAATATAATCATTAAGGGCTCTCTTCAGAAAACTATGGTAAACTTCTATTACATCACTAAAGAATGCCATACCGTTTTTGCAATAGACCCCGTCCCAGCAAAGCAACATTTTAGACAATGGACAAGAAGATGTATCTCCTAGCGGCCAATGGAATCCTTATCCTCTTGGGAGACGGGACGTACCTCCAGACACCATTACTAAAAAGGTAACCAATATCACATGAATGACACAGAGCATGATTCTTGCACATAATTCTTGCATGTTCATTATAATATGTTGTGCATAGCTTTAGTTAGTATGTCATTTTTGTAATAAGTTTAAAATTTCTATACATGTTACTGTCTATACCACAGACAGATTAACTCTAGGAGCATGGTAAAGAATGAAAAGTGAAACAATGACAAACGTTCAAAGTTGGTAATGAATTTTTATAAACACATCCCACTGCCTCTTTGTAAATACTAGCACCCTGTGCTAATGCTGGGCACCCATTCGTGGCACCTATGACATATAATGTTTGTGTCTAACTTTCTTGGCTTTAACAGAATGGTCCAGGCAGTTGCAATCTTTAAATAATCAATGGGGGGAAGGGATTTCAATCTTCTTGGGATTTATTATTGTTGTTGTTGTTGTTTTGGTGCCAAGGATCGAACCCAGGGTCTCACACATGCAATCCAAGTACTCTACTGCTGAGTAGCATCCTACAGTTACAGACCAGACATTTATAATTAATGGTTTAATCCATGAGCATAGAATGAAACAGTGTGTCCACAGAAATACTGAAACATCATTTCTAATGGCATCAGGGTATTCATCTATGCATCGTCCAACAGTGAACCAAGTATGTGCCAAGAACACTATGTGTTGAGCCTTTGTTAGATATTTAGGGAACAAGAATGAATAAGATAGGACAATTTTACCTACAAGATCTTCTAGTCTAGTGATGTAGGGTGTGTGAAAGTAAGTTATTATAAAAATCTTAGGTGATAGCACCATAAAGGGGGTAAAAACCTACGATCTGGGATAACATAGATGCACCATATTGGAAGAAGATGGAATGGATTGTATTGTAGAAAAATATATAGACATATATTTATTATATTATTTTATATATAATAAAATATATATGTTATATATTTCATTATATTAAAGCACTGTCCTCCATTGTTCATCGATATTTGCTCAAGCAGGCCCAGTAACGTCTCTATCACGAGACTTGTTGTTACTGTGCTTGGCATATTGAATACGTCACGGGTAGCTTGCCAGGTTTTGCCATGCGGGCAAGATACTCTCGGTAGCTTGCCGGGCTCTCTGAGGGGGCGGAGGAATCGAACTTGGGTCAACCATGTTGGCCGCTTGCAAGGCAAATGCCCTACTCGCTGTGCTATCGCTCCAGCCAAACACAGTAACAAGAACTCTCACAATGGAGACATTACTAGGACAGCTCGAGCATTTATTATATTGTATATAATAAATATATATATATACACACACACGTTTCAGCAGGGTGAGTCTGATTAAATTCATTGAAAGAGAACTCTAAAAACTTCTAGAAAATGAACCGGAGATGATGAAACCAGTTAAGTAGTTCCTGTTGTCACGCTGAGAGACTAGATGGAAGGAATAAGTGGGGGTGAGAAATGCAGAAATCAATGGACATGTTCTAGACCTCGAATAGATGTCAAGTACAGGAAAAGGATAAAAAGCCCGAAGATAGTACAATAGGCAAGGTGCTTGTTTTGCTTCGAAATTGATGCCCATATTTCTCATTTGGACAAGTGAGTGATGATGTGTTGTGCCCTGAAATAGGAAACACAAGAAGGGTAATTGGTGGAAAGAGAGGAAAGGAGGGGAGAAAAATTGAATTTTAATATGTTTTTTGAGGTAACTTTAGATCATCTAAGTAGATATGTTTAATGAATGTCTGGCTGTATTTATCTAAGATTTAGAAGCCTTCACTAGAGGTAAAGACTTAAGAAGCAACAAAACATAATTGAGCTTAGAGCATGCAGAAGAATGATACCGAGCTCCCCATATAACACCAACATTTATTTAAGAGATAGTTTTAGGAAAAAAAGCAGAAAACAAATAGCCAAAGATTTTATCAATAGGACCCTTTACCAACAGTTATAGAAAATTTGAGGGAAACAACCCTGAACATTAAGGAAATATTTTGGTATATAAGAAGTAACCAACATCTAGGACATGCCTTGGAGTCTTAAATAATACAATACATAAATACTTATGTTCCTTCCCTACTCTTAAAGTCATCCTGTTATTTTAACCTAAAATTGGTCCCTGTTATGATTGTGAATTGGCTACCAGTAACAATTGGATATTGGTATCCAACTGTAACAAATACAAGTTCCCACTTTTAAATCCCTCAGGAGAGAGAGACAAGTGTCTGGTAGCTGTATCTTTTGCAAGAAAGCAAAACCTTTCTTGCCTGAGTCCTTCAAGATGTGCCTCTCCTTACATTTCGGTGATCCTGGATAGCTAAGGACTTCCCATCTATAGTCCTATAGCTAAGTAAGGACCGTCCATCCCATCCCCCCCAACACTTTTTTCAAAGGGTTCATTGGTGTTAAGAGCCCAGTATATACATTGGTTTGATGATCACTTTACAGATCAAAATAAGGAAGAGTGGCACCTAGGATATTAGTGGAGAAAAACACATTTTAGAAAGGGGGTGGTTAACAGTTAAGCACAGTACCCACCTCCAAAAAATCACTGTCTGTTCATCTAAAGGCTCAGAGGACTTAGGAACAGAAAGATCATTGGTGACCTTGCAAATGATGAGATAGGATTCATAAGACCTGACATGGAGAAGAAAATGGAAACTAAACCTAGAAAATTCAAGAGTATCCTCTTAAAAGGAAAGAAAATCTTGATGGAGTCTATAGATGATATAAGGAAATAGAGGAATATTGAAGATGGTAGACACCTGATTACATTTATAGAACTGTACAGAAAAACTCACTTAACCTATATACTGATTAACTGAAAGCATTTTATTTTTATGTTATAAATCCCTAACTAAAGTATAGGACCAATAAACTGTGGTCATTGCAAAGTAACTCCCCAATTTTTCCCATTAAAAACATATTTAGGGGGTCACTTGCCTTGCATACAACCAAACGAGGTTCCAATCTGGTGCCACATGATCCCTTACCATCACTGTATACAGCCTTAGAGGTCCCCAAGCACTGCTTGGGTGTCCATAACTAGTCTCTGGCCCCACCAGGTCAAAGCAGTACCTCATCTGCAGGTCTTTGCATTGATCTGTTGATGCCATTGGCTGAAAATCGCTGGGCAAACCCCTCCTGCACACTGCTTGGGAAGCTACCCCACTAACAACAACAAGCGAACAAAATTTCACTATCAGTGGGACTAGAGTAAAAGAAACTACAATTCCTGGCTTTTATAATTCAGCTAAGACTAGCTGTGCCATAGCACTATTGGATTTCATTCCATCAAAGGCAGGGAGAACGTGATGTTAGCTCACTTGCACAGGGTGAGTGGGACTTCTGGGATAGAAAAAGAGAGAAGAGGATTTCTATCTTGGAAAATGGCTGGAAGGGAGAAATTAGAGTAGATCTTGAACCTTACAAGAGCTAGTCAAGGTGCGGTAGAGGCGTAGGCAGGTTGTGTGATTTTTTCCTCTCCCAGAGTAATATCCATTATACAGTGGACAGTGACGAGTCCTGGGATTAATGTCATGAGTTCATTGGCCCATGAGCCAATGAGAACAACCCTCTCCATCACAGCTTGGAATGCTAGTCAGTGCTGCTCCCTCTCTTCTGCTTCTCTTTTCCAAGCCTCCATTATTCTTCCCTGATAGGAGCAAATATTGCATTGAGCAGCGTAAATGTTTCAACTGGTAGACAGGCCACCACTGAAACTCAAAAACAGATTAGAATCCTTTATCTAGAGTCATTTTTAACTCCAACCACTTCTAAGCACGAAAAAAAGAGATCTTTCTGAGTCATTTGGTCAATTGAGATACTCCTTGCTTCTCTGACTTCTCTCTTACTCCCTCGCTATTCCCCATACATTATGGGATCCCTTAGGATTTGGTCTAAGCATACTGAGCACTATAAGGCTACAATGCCGTCCATGGAAGCAGCATATTCTGAGATTGCTTCAAGAAGAAATAAGAGTTGGGTGGTAAAGGGTAGACCACATGCCTTGTATGCACAAGGGCCCGGTGAGCACTGTCCCTGCATGCATGATGAGCCAATGAGCACTGCCATTGTGGTCTTAGTAGCCCCCAGCCCTGCCGGGTCTGAGTAACACAGGCTTGGATGTCAAGCCTGCACAACCAGCTGAGTGTCACAGGAGTGGCCCCTGACCTCTGATCACTGCTTGAGGAGCCCAACAAATAAAAAGAAGTGGCCGCCAAATGCTTTCACTGTCCAGGTGCTCTGCTTAGAAAAAGAAAATGAAGAAGATTTCTGGCATCTTATAATTTAAAGATAGTTCCCAAATCACAGTTGTAATAGGGTTAACATTTATGGTTATGATATACAAAGCTACTGCACCTCACTGCTACCCAAATGTTCAAGACCCTCCATCACATATGTTGATTTTTATTTTTATTTTTTATTTTTTGCTTTTTTGGGGTCACACCTGGCGATGCACAGGGGTAACTCTTGGCTCTGCACTCAGGAATTACCCCTGGCAGTGCTCAGGAGACCACATGGAATGCTGGGAATTGAACCCGGGTTGGCCACGTGCAAGGCAAACACCCTACCCACTGTGCTATTGCTCCAGCCCCCTCATATGTTGATTTTTAAATCACAGTGTTTTCCCCAGAGAGGCATTTCTTATACAGATGCATGCGGATTTTTTCCTCATGAGCAAAAGTCATTTTTTAGAAGGTCAAAGTTTTGAAAAAAGAGTAGAATAGTGGGAAGATTCCAAATAAAAGAGAACTAATGTCTAGACTCAGAGAGATGGTAGAACAACAGGCTGGAGCACATGCTTTGCATCTAGGAAGTCTGGGTTCAATTCCTAACTCCTCCTGGTTCCCCAGGTACTTCTCTAAGTGATCCCAAGCACAGAACTGGGAGTAGCTCCCAGGCACTTCCAATAAAGTCCAAAACTAAAAGAGAGAGAACATCCCTTTTTTCAGAACTTTTGAAAACAACTCTCTAGACCCAGTGTAAGACAACTCTGCTTTCCTCAAAGTTTAAGGTAAGGTAA